ATGGGACCTACATAATAAACTTGCTCCACGTATATAACACGTTGTTTGAGCTTGTCAGGGCCCAAGTGGAACGAAGGGGTCAGTGCTCAAGACTACACTGTTGATATGCTATTGGAATGTCTTCTGATGGCAGCACATGGCTTATATCTCCTGCATATCATTAGACCATGAACTGTACTTTTCAGCACTCACTACATGAGTGGCAAACAAAGCCAATAACTATTTCCCCAATGAAATACCAGATCAGTCCTCAGCTGATGAGAACAGAAAGAGAAAAAAATAAAGATCTTTCTTTGGCTCAGATTTTCTCTGTTTTAATTACATAAACAAAAGCCTGATTGGGGCTTGCCTGCCATTGTATTTTGGGCTCGGCACCAGCTGTTTGAGACAGGCAGACACAGCTGTATACATGTGTCTTTGCACACTAAATCAAATGTCCCCTTGTGCTCATCTGGAGTGAATTAGGGTGGAGGAGGGAGGGAGGAGAGGGGATGCAGGCTTTGATATACAGGGGAGGAAATGGGTAATGTCCTGGAACCACATGCAACATCCTAATAGGAGCTAGTGATTGATAATAAAGAGATTGCCAGATCATCTCTCTTTGTCTCTCTCTCCCTCTCTCTGTGTCCTCTGTCCTCCCTCTCTCTTCTCCTATCCCTATAACCGTCTCATAACCTTGGATTAGTGCAGGTATTAGCTAAGAGTCGTCTCTGGGTGTTTTTTAATGAAGTACCCCAATCATTTTTTTTTGCAAAAGTGTACCAACGCAGTTTCTCTTTACAGGCTGTTGTCATTGCTCCAGCTGTTTAAGCCTCTGATGAGACTGTTTTAAGGCATGTAGGAAAAGCAGGAGGTGGGACTGGGAGTGATAACATAGTGTTACTTTTTGTATCCTGTACACTTCACTACTTCTAAATCAGTCTTACTCTAACCACCTCACAGAACAGTGATAACTTTCCCATGATAAAAACACATGAAGATTTTATTTTCAACATGTGGTGAACCCACTACACTTTGGCGAAGCACAAACATAGGTGTTTGGCCATAGCCTACAGTATATGACCTGCCGGCGTACCACCACCACCACCACAATGACATGAACGGCAGGTAGGAAATGGACATCCCATGCGAGGGAAGTCTCTCCAACTAAATTCCTTTTTGGAGGTCAGTGAACATGTACAAGATAAATAATGCAAAACTATGTGACAGGGTTACTGTACATTAGTCATAACAGTGAAGGGGAAAATATGTGACCTTTCATTCAATCATTTGAGAACATCAATCTACATTCCCTTTGACCCTGCTTTGCAAAGAACATAAAAAGGAAAGCAAGAAAGGGAATATGGAGAGCAGCTGGTTATTTAGGATGAACATGACATGCTGTTTGTTGGTGAGAGGAATGGGAAATAGAGGGATGAGGGAATGAAACAGTGAAAATAGACTCACTTTCACATTTAATATCCATGTGTCATCACAGTCTTGACTTTAAAATGCATTCTCTTTTGATTAGAAGGATCTAGCTGCACATGAATCTGGTGCTAGAATAACAATCTACTTCTTACTAGAACAAGCTAGTCATACCCTCACTGAAATCGTTTCCTGCATATTTCAGGCTGGTAAAAGTGGTCCTCAGGCACAGGGTCAATGCTTACAAGTTATTATACTATATAAGACTTAATTTTCCGAAGTTGAATGTACAATTTCCTCCACAGAGTAATGCTGCCCCCTGCTGCATGTTGTATGTACTATCTGGTCCATTTAAAACCATATACCGGTATGTGCTTGAAACAATCTGGGGAGAAGTCCATATTATCTCAATGGGAAAAGCTCAGGGTGTCTGTACTTTGAAGACCCTTTTACCAACCTCAAATTCTTTGGACTTATAAACAGTGAGATATAGTCCATGTTTACATTATCACAGAATGGGAAATTAATGATTTATTTCAGCATTTCATCACATGAAGTTTGACTGTTAGAATGAATAAGAATTATAACATTCAAATATAAACATTATATACAAAATAAATATAAATGCAATTGTTGAAAGAGCTATAGGCTATTGTATTTGAAACTGTTGCGGTGAAATAAATCTACAGAATGTCACACATTTCCACTAGATGGTGGTCTAGTCTTACTTTTATTTTATTTTACGAGCAGGAAGCTGTTCCTCCTCAAGCACATTGAGCGCTTCTCTGTAGCCACAGCAGGCCTACTGTTAATCTACATCCGCTACGTAAGACCAGCTCTGGAGTTTGCTGTCCCTGCCTGGCCTCAAACCCAGACTGCTCAGCTGGAGCGTGTCCAGAAGAGAGCCTGCAGAATAATTCTGGACAGGTCATACACTAGCTACCGGGAAACCCTAATCATGTCCTTGGAGAGCAGACGGGAGTAGATCTGCCTGACATTTGCAGGCTGGCTCACCCCAACCAGATAACAGATTACCCGCGACAGCCACAAACTGAACCCTCCCATGACACGCACAGGCAGCTATCAGAACTCTCCCATCCCATTCCACACTAAACTGATCAATGTACGCACCGTATAGCCCCGGAGCCTTAGAAACGCTTCCCTAAGAACTCTAAAATATGTCTTTTCTAAAGCTGCTACCCAAACCTTGTCGCTGTAGTATTGTTGTTTTGTATATATTGCATATTTTAACATTATATTAAGTGTGTTGCTGGTTTAGGATTTTACTATTTGATAATTATATACGATTGATGTTATGATTGTAAATTGGTGTACAATTCAGTCTATGACTGCGAGAAACCAATGAAACCTACTACCACTACTACTATTGCTACTACTATATTTTTCACAAAAGGTAAACAATCACTCAATGACAGTCAGAGATGGGCTGATGAACTGCTCATAACTTCAGCTTTGTCAATGTTTATGTTAAAATCAAATTGGAAAGGGTCATATGGAAAGGAACTTGGAATATTGAAATATCATACTTCCAGTGTCAATCAAAGTTGGGATTTTGAGAACATTTTAAAGAATCATTCAAATTACTTCAGTAGATGTATTTTGAGATACATTTTAGAATTAAATTGTTTAAAATATATAGTGTTGTTACCTATATGATTCAACTCATTGTTTGTGAACTACAGCCCTTTCTGTATCATACTATATTTAGTCTTTGGACACATTTACACATTTGAATACATGTTCAAATGATCAGATCTTAATATTTGTTGGTATATAGATGGACCAATTTATATATAAACAATATCTAAAGAAATCGACACACACCCATAGAGTAAATGCAGTATAAACTAATCCAATGCAAGTCAATGGAGACTGGAGAGTGAGTCATTTTACAGCATTCTTCCTCTTTCTCAGATCTTTATCATGTTCAGATCTGAATACTTTTTGTTATATAGATTGTCTGGCCATTACAGTATATATATGTAGAACGGCCTTACTGAAGAGCTCAGTGACTTTCAAAGTGGCACCGTCATAGGATGCCACCTTTCCAACAAGTCAATTCGTCACATTTCTGCTCTGCTAGAGCTGCCCCGGTCAACTGTAAGTGCTGTTATTGTGAAGTGGAAACATCTAGAAGCAACAACGGCTCACCCGCGAAGTGGTAGGCCACACAAGCTCACAGAACGGTACTGCCAAGTGAAAATCGTCTGTCCTCGGTTGCAACACTCACTACCGAGTTCCAAACTGCCTCTGGAAGCAACGTCAGCACAAGAACTGTTCATTAGGAGCTTAACGAAATGGGTTTCCATTGCCGAGCAGCTGCACACAAGCCTTAGATCTTGATGCACAACGGCAAGCGTTGGCTGGAGTGGTGTAAAGCTCACCACCATTGGAATCTATAGCAGTGGAAACGCGTTCTCTGGAGTGATGAATCACGCTTCACCATCTGGCAATCCGACAGACTAATCTGGGTTTTGCGGATGCCATGAGAACGCTACCTGCCCCAATGCATAGTGCCAACTGTAAAGTTTGGTGGAGGAGGAATAATGGTCTGGGGCTGTTTTTCATGGTTTGGGCTAGGCCCCTTAGTTCCAGGGAAGGGAAATCTTAACACTACAGCATACAATTACATCTAGACAATTCTGTGCTTCCAACTTTGTGGCAACAGTTTGGGGAAGGCCCTTTCCTGTTTCAGCATGACAATGCCCAAGTGCATAAATCGAGGTCCATACAGAAATGGTTTGTTGAGATCGGTGTGGAAGAACTTGACTGGCCTGCACAGAGCCCTGAACTCAACCCCATCGAACACCTTTGGGATGAATTGGAACGCTGACTGCGAGCCAGGCCTAATTGCCCAACATCAGTGGCGGACCTCACTAATGTTCTTGTGGCTGAATGGAAGCAAGTCCCTGCAGCAAAGTTCCAACATCTAGTGGCAAGCCTTCCCAGAAGAGTGGAGGCTGTTATAGCAGCAAAGGGGGGACCAACTCCATATTAATGCCCATGATTTTGGAATGAGATGTTCGACGAGTAGGTGTCCACATACTTTTGCCCATCTATTGTAGCTACCACCGATAGCTTGCTAAAGGGTTAGCTTTATTTGATCATACTGTAGCGGTCCTTGCTATATGAGCCATGTAACCAAAGACAATTTAATCATTTTGAAAAGTTACAACTACGTGACGTTACAATTCCCACAAAGTGGGTTAACCCTTATTATTAGAGCAATGTTGAAGGCGATGTTGAAGGCAGACCAGGGTACTGCAGGCTGCCATTAGCAACTTAATTATCCTTATAACGTCTTCTGTGTGCGATTTATTTTATAATCGGTTCAAGGACTTATATCTGGTCTATTAGAAGCAATTATTGGTAACATGATTGTCTTCGAAACATTTTTGTATTTACACGAAGATTGACCAAGAAGATTGAGATTGCCATTTTTTCCGTTCACTATAATGTTATCTGCAAACAATGCCTGCAGTACCGCGGTCGGCCTTGAATTTCCGTGGCTTCAGTGAGAGGGGGCAGTCGTTCTCCCCTGGACCAACTCACGTGCCTCTAAACTAAAGGCGGAAGCAGATTGAGTGCGATATCCTATCTCTTCACATAGAAGGTCTTTGACCAAGCGATCAATAGTGAACGCTTGGGGGTAGAAGTGTGAGAGCAGTGACCGCTAGCTGCATGTCAGCGAGAAGAGGCAGGAAGGGAAATATCTATAGAAGGGGGGTGGTGAACAGGGATTTGGGCTCCTTCTTTCAAATTTGGCTGTAACGTTATCTCTATATAGATCCAAATTAACGATTCTTGCTACGAGGGGAACACCACTCAACAACAGCTGTAGCTAGCTACCACCATCTCCCGCAGTCTGAGCGATCGCCGTGTCTTCCATACGATGGGAAACGCTGCTACCGCCAAGAAAGGCAACGAGCTGGAGAGCGGTGAGTTGGGACGGTCGCTGAGCATAATCTATACTAACTAATGTTAGCTAGCTACCGAGTGAGTATGCTAACATTAGCTAATGTTGACACATTTGAAACATTTTATGCACAACATCGGGAGAATGTATCCCTGATGTTGTAAACATTTACATGAATTACACCCTCCCCCTACATTTCGTATAGTAATTGGTTTGTGAATTAATCCCAGCTAGCTAACTAGCTACAGTACAAGGAATGTATAACTAAATAGTTACAACCTGATCCAGAGGCCTAGCTAGCTGCTAACATTTGCTAGCTAGCCGGTCGTTTTAGCCCGTTCGCTATGATGTCTACCTAGCTAACGTCAGTAAGAGTTAGATATATATCAGCGTTAGTTAGCCACCACCAGGCCCGTGAGACATCACCAAGCCAGAGTAGTATAATGTGCAATGCCAGCTACAGTACTGTAGCAGTAGCATAGCCAGCCAGCTAAAGTCTTGACTATCTGACGTGTGTTGGTCTCATAGCCTATGGAGGCCTGTTGTTTTGTTTTGATATTGCAATTGTAGATTAGTTTTAGCTAGCTAATTTGTAATTTTACAAGTGAGAGAGATCATTAGCAACCAGAAGTTCACTCCACTCGCAAACTATTTACAAATGTCATGTTAGATTAACCACACTAAGGATAAGTAGTTTAATGAGTAGGGTGTTTCAATTATCAGACTGCCTCACATCTCAGTCTTGAGGCGCTGTATAAATATATACAGCTTTCCCTCTACAGTACTCTCTAGCGCTCCTCTAAACAGTGACCAAATATGGCGAAAAAATGACAAATGCCCACTTGCCATTCATAAAACCAGGCCCGTAATACAACCTTCCCAAGTGATTTATCTCACAAGTCTTTTTGGTTTAGAGTCTGTTAAATCTTAGTGATGTGAAGGTCTACACACGCACACAGAGCACAGTTTGTCATTGACTGGAACAGCTTGTCACTAGACCTTCGTCAGAGGATAAGGGGAATTACAAGCTTTGACGCAACTAGCCCTGGGACTGTATTAATTTGCAATGGTACACTTTGACGTATGTATGCTGATAATCAATGCACAGCATGACTTGATACATTTGAAATGTTTCCCCATGATGTCCTATACAGTCAGGAATATGGAGACATTGGTTTGTGTCCAGATCTGAATGTATGTGAACTGCTTGCAAACGAATTGTGAGTTTTCATATATGCTGTTCAATCTACTTCACTTTTGATAAATGTACGGTCAAATTTGAACATTTATGGTAGGTATCTGGGTTGTTTAAAAGCTTTGTCACTTTACAATGCTGTTAATCTGTTCATATAAGATTTATTGAAGTGTTGGAAGAGACCAGGCAGAGGCACAGGAACCTGGCCAGCCTCAGGTATCTTCCCAGTTTCAGGAAGCAAGCAGTGTTCTTTGATCTGATCAGTGCAACCAAAAGCCTGTGCTGTGCTGTCCGTTTTCCTGTTAGTTTTGACATGACATGAGCCCCAGTCTCTCAACCTTCTAGTATTAAACCTGACTAAGCCACATTGTCCTCAACTGCTGCTGCTACAGATTTGTCTGCCCTGTTGCTGTTTACAGGGCCGGCAACCTGGTTCCTGATAACAGCCCATGTGTGTGTTGCGCTAGCCTGCTAACCTCCTCACCAACTCAGACTTGTTCTCTTGGCTTGGCTCTTGGGAGATGTCAAAACACTCCCAGTTTGACAGGGAGGGAGGGATGAAGGAGGTAGGGAGGTGGACACGAATTAAAGATGCTAGATAGGCTAATTCTGACACTGAATTCTGAGCCTTGTTTCACTGTTCCGCGTCACAACCTTCCATGTTGTTAAACATGTTAGGCAACCATGTTCTAGAAATATGAATTTAGTGGTGCTCATCTCTAAAAACGGTACTGTACTGAGGTGTACATTATTCTACTGTACAATACTGGACACCTAGCATGTCTTTAAAAGGGGTCACATTCAGTACAGTAAACCATAACCAGCTCTGATTATGTAAACATTTACATTAGCTAGGCGGTCATATACAGTGCAATCAGAAAGTATTCAGACCCCTTGACTTTTTCCACATTTTGTTACGTGACAGCCTTATTCGAAAATTGATTAAATTAGTTTGTTTCCTCAATCTACACACAATACCCCATAATGACAAAGCGAAAACAGATTTTTAGAAATGTTTGCAAATGTATTAAAAATAAAAAATTCAGAAAAAGTATTCAGATGCTTTGCTATGAGACTCGAAATTGAGCTCAGGTGCATCCTGTTTCCATTGATCATCCTTGAGATGTTTCTACAACTTGATTGGAGTCCACCTGTGGTAAATTCAGATTAGTTTCAATTGATTGGACATGATTTGGAAAGGCACACACCTGTCTATATAAGGTCCCACAGTTTACAGTGCATGTCAGAGCAAAAACCAAGCCATGAGGTCGAAGGAATTGTCCGTAGAGCTCCGAGACATGATTGTGTCGAGGCACAGATCTGGGGAAGGGTACCAAAAGTCTTTCAGCGGCAGGGACTGGGAGACTAGTCAGGATCGAGGCAATGATGTACAGAGAGATCCTTGATGAAAACCTGCTCCAGAGCACTCAGGACCTCCGACTGGGGCGAAGGTTCACCTTCCAACAGGACAACGACCCTAAGCACACAGCCAAGACAATGCAGGAGTGGCTTCGAGACAAGTCTCTGGAAGAGACCTGTGCAGCAACGCTCCCCATCCAACTTGACAGAGCTTGAGAGGATCTGCAGAGAAGAATGGGAGAAACTACCCAAATACAGGTGTGTCAAGCTTGTAGCGTCATACCCAAGAAGACTCAAGGATGTAATCGCTGCCAAAGGTGCTTCAACAAAGTACTGAGTAAAGGGTCTGAATACTTATGTAAATGTGATATTGTAGTTTTTTATATATATATATATATATATATATATATATATAAATATATAAATTTGCAAAAATGTCCAAACCTGTTTTTGCTTTGTCATTATGGGGTATTGTGTGTAGATTGATGGGGGGGGGGGGGAACGATTTAATCAATTTTAGAATAAGGCTGTAACGTAACAAAATGTGGAAAAAGTGAAGGGGTCTGAATACTTTTTGAATGCACTGTCTAATATAGTCTACATGTCAGGCCAGGGTTTAGTGGTTCAACACACAGAGTATCCTATATAAAAATAACTGCACAATGATTGAAGCCTTTTTCTGTTTGCTACATCTTTGTATTTGTACAGAATTTGCCATCCTAGTCATGTAATTTTGTCATGTCTGTTGTGACTTTCTTACCCACAGGGGTCATTAACAACCATTCTAATTAGTATTCTTGTGTTTTTCTGTGTCAAACTGAATTACAGGAGAAGAATGACAACTCTTTCTCTCTGTCTCTAATACTGTCATTTTCTTTCCTTCGTTGTCATCTATTGTTCTTCACTGCATATGGTCCATGTTTGTTGATCTGATATCCTTGTTGTTAGTGCATAAATCTATCTATCTCTCTCTCTTTCTTCCACATCATCCCTTCCACATTGTTCCTGCAAATCCTTGGGTGATATATAGAGACTTTTGGTATGCCCACTCTTCCACTAGATGCCCAAAATGACAGAAGTCCGAACCCCTTGCACACATTGATTATATTTTGAATGAACCCAAGCTTGGCTTGTAGTAGTGGTTCAGTATATGCTTCGATTTATGTTCTGCCAAAACCATTACCTAAACCTGTGTTTTTGTCATCTGCATTCTGTCATTCTGGATATCTCCTGTCTGCTGTGTTTTTCCATGTATGATGGTTTGTCCTTGCTCGTCAAAAACAATTCTGTAATGAATACTGTGAGTGTTAGAGCCTTCCCGTGAACAGTATTGGGCCCTAATGCACAGTCAGTTCAGAAAGAAAGTGATGCACAAGAGTTCTGCATGTTTTAAGAGAGACCAGCCTCTCCTCTTGTCTTAGTGAATTCTTACATCCCCCTCTCTATTTAAAAAAAGAGAAATGGGGCTCTTGGCATCACTTCTTACTTAGACTGCCCGTCTTGGTTGGTGTGTGTGTTTTTTTGTATCACTAGAAACAGAACGTTTTGATGTTGTTTCCTCCCCCCTTACGCCGTACATGTATTTTGTGGATGTAAAATGCAGATGAGAGTTTGGTTAGTTAGACCTTACCAGTCTTCGTCTCCATTGAATTACGTTTCATACGGATTTTGTTACAATTAATCCCCAGCATTGTTCTAGAATTTCCACATAAGATTCCATTAAGATTTCCTTTGTACTTTGTTACCCGCTCCATGCAAACCAAATCCCAAGTCAATAAATAGGAATGAATCATGCGTTGACAGACAATTCCTTCCTGTGTGCTAATTGTGCTTGTGTGTATCTTTCTTCCATACAGTGAAAGAGTTCCTAGCCAAAGCCAAAGAAGACTTCTTACGGAAATGGGAATGTCCACCACAGGTGAGATGTTTTCAATGCTCTTAAGGCTGGAGCTACAAATCCAGGGTTTGGGGACTCCTTCTCATTTATTTCTGTGATTCCTCACATCCTATCTCTTTGCCTTCTTCTCAACCGAATTGGGGAGAAGGTCCAAGGTCCTTCACCAATGTGTATCGAAAAGGAGACGAGTAGTGGATGTGAGGAATATCTTAAGTTTCACTGAGTAAAAGCCTGGGACTGCTGCTGTGGTATATCCATTAGGTAATCCACATCCTGTGTTTTGTATGACCCATTCCAGAGCACGACGGGCCTAGATGACTTTGACAGGCTAAAGACCCTGGGTACAGGCTCGTTTGGAAGAGTCATGCTGGTCAAACATAAAGGAACAGAGCAGTTCTTTGCCATGAAAATACTGGACAAGCAAAAGGTTGGTGCCCAGTGGAAAATAGCTGGCCTTTTCAAGGACTGGTAACTCATGTATGAGCTGACAAGGCAATGTATGGCCTTGCTATGGGAAGAGGATAAAGAGATGCTATTTTAGGGCATCAAACGTCGCAACAAGTGCAAAGCCTTGGTCGAGTGGGTATCACTTCAGGCAGCAAGCACATGTATGCCTCCCCACCGAAGACCTGGGTTAAATCCTCTGTATCCCTCCTTACTCTCATCCCATCTGTTTCTACCTATCTAAATGAAGCATACTTTTTTTTAGTAAAGGTAGTGTGCAATTACACTGTCCAAAAATAAAAATAAATCACGCAAAAATGAAATAAAACACTGTAGATCAGTGGTATTCAAACTTTTTCGGCGGGACCCCAATTTTCCCCCAGAATATCTGGGGACCTACATTTTTTTGCAAGAATTCCTCGCTACCCCACCCTAAATCTGATGATGACACAACCTTAAAATTGTTACATTTCTATTTTTACCTTAACTAATACCTTCAATTCATTACACTTTCATCTCTTATCAAAACTAGAAGAAACCAATAAATACATTTACTCAATAAAATTGTATTTTTAAAAGGATCCTTCTCACAAACGTTGTATATTGTGACTTGTCCCATACAATAATATGTACTCTAATTTTTAATATTTTTAAATGGGGAACCCCACTGCAAGGTTGCGACCCCAACTTTGAATACCACTGCTGTAGATGTTAACTGGTGGCATAACATAAGTATGATTGTGTAATGTTAGGACCGGCCAGCAGTAATGTCTGCCAGTGGTTCCTCCCATCACATGCACAGATATGATCTGACTTGTTAGTGTCTGGATTATAATACCATAGACTCTTTGCATTACTGGAATGCAATCTAAAAGCTGTCCTAGCCACGCAAACCACCTGATCTCGCGAGCTAACATAAATGGTTCGCTACCTCAGTCTGGTAATTACGAGACTAAAGCTGTCCCCCTCCCCCAACCTCTACAGCTTTGTCATGCCATCATTAAACAGTAAATCAAAATGTTGTTTTTCGGTCAAGATGGTTGTCTGATGATCACTTCTTTGTCTGTTAGGTGGTAAAACTCAAGCAAATAGAACACACGCTAAATGAGAAGAGAATATTGCAGGCTGTGTCTTTTCCCTTCCTCGTCAGACTTGATTATGCCTTCAAGGTACAGTTTATTTTCCTTCTGCATACAGTGTTTTCAATCTGGCCATTGAGATCAGGGGCCCTATGTATCAAGTGTCTCAAAGAAGGAGTGCTGATTTAGGATACGTTTTTCCTTTTTGATCACAATGAATATGATTCGATGAACAAGGGGGGACCTGATCCCAGCACTACTCTGAGACGCTTAATACATATGGCCCCTGGCCTCTTTATTATTCAGTTATCTCAGTATCTGAGTGGATTTGTTTACATCTGTCTATGTCTCTCCACAGGACAACTCCAATTTGTACATGGTGATGGAGTATGTTCCAGGAGGAGAGATGTTCTCACATCTAAGACGAATCGGAAGGTTCAGGTGAGTTTCTGTCTGAATGTTCTGCTCATAAATGCAAAATCAGGTTGATTACAGATTGTTTCTAGATTTTCCAGTTGTTGATAGAAAATGAATGTGTATGTGTATATATATATATATATATATATATACACACACTGCTCAAAAAAATAAAGGGAACACTTAAACAACACAATGTAACTCCAAGTCAATCACACTTCTGTGAAATCAAACTGTCCACTTAGGAAGCAACACTGATTGACAATAAATGTCACATGCTGTTGTGCAAATGGAATAGACAACAGGTGGAAATTATAGGCAATTAGCAAGACACCCCCAATAAAGGACTGGTTTTGCAGGTGGTGACCACAGACCACTTCTCAGTTCCTATGCTTCCTGGCTGATGTTTTGGTCACTTTTGAATGCTGGCGGTGCTTTCACTCTAGTGGTAGCATGAGACGGGGTCTACAACCCACACAAGTGGCTCAGGTAGTGCAGCTCATCCAGGATGGCACATCAATGCAAGCTGTGGCAAGAAGGTTTGCTGTGTCTGTCAGCGTAGTGTCCAGAGCATGGAGGCGCTACCAGGAGACAGGCCAGTACATCAGGAGACGTGGAGGAGGCCGTAGGAGGGCAACAACCCAGCAGCAGGACTGCTACCTCCGCCTTTGTGCAAGGAGGAGCAGGAGGAGCACTGCCAGAGCCCTGCAAAATGACCTCCAGCAGGCCACAAATGTGCATGTGTCTGCTCAAACGGTCAGAAACAGACTCCATGAGGGTGGTATGAGGGCCCTGACGTCCACAGGTGGGGGTTGTGCTTACAGCCCAACACCGTGCAGGACGTTTGGCATTTGCCAGAGAACACCAAGATTGGCAAATTCGCCACTGGCGCCCTGTGCTCTTCACAGATGAAAGCAGGTTCACACTGAGCACATGTGACAGACGTGACAGAGTCTGGAGACGCCGTGGAGAACGTTCTGCTGCCTGCAACATCCTCCAGCATGACCGGTTTGGTGGTGGGTCAGTCATGGTGTGGGGTGGCATTTCTTTGGGGGGCCGCACAGCCCTCCATGTGCTCGCCAGAGGTAGCCTGACTGCCATTAGGTACCGAGATGAGATCCTCAGACCCCTTGTGAGACCATATGCTGGTGCGGTTGACCCTGGGTTCCTCCTAATGCAAGACAATGCTAGACCTCATGTGGCTGGAGTGTGTCAGCAGTTCATGCAAGAGGAAGGCATTGATGCTATGGACTGGCCCGCCCGTTCCCCAGACCTGAATCCAATTGAGCACATCTGGGACATCATGTCTCGCTCCATCCACCAATGCCACGTTGCACCACAGACTGTCCAGGAGTTGGCGGATGCTTTAGTCCAGGTCTGGGAGGAGATCCCTCAGGAGACCATCCGCCACCTCATCAGGAGCATGCCCAGGCATTGTAGGGAGGTCATACAGGCACGTGGAGGCCACACACACTACTGAGCCTTATTTTGACTTGTTTTAAGGACATTACATCAAAGTTGGATCAGCCTGTAGTGTGGTTTTCCACTTTAATTTTGAGGGTGACTCCAAATCCAGACCTCCATGGGTTGATAAATTTGATTTCCATTGATCATTTTTGTGTGATTTTGTTGTTAGCACATTCAACTATGTAAAGAAAAAAGTATTTAATAAGATTATTTCATTCATTCAGATCTAGGATGTGTTATTTTAGTGTTCCCTTAATTTTTTTGAGCAGTGTGTGTGTGTATATATATATAATATTTATTTTACCTACATTCCCGTACACGTATTTATTTGGACAGTGTATCTAAAACATTTAATTTGGCTCTGTACTCCAAAATTTTGGATTTGAGATTAAATGTTTTATGAGGCGACAGAAAATAATGTCACCTTTTATTTTAGGGTATTTTCTTACACGTTTTAGCATTTAGAAATGAATGCACTTCATTTATCTAGTCCCCCCATTTGAAGGTGTCCATAAGTATTTAGACAAATTCAGTTATCGTGCATTACATTTATTTAAAAGTTTAGTGTTTGGTCCCATATTCCTAGCACGCAATGACTACAACAAGCTTGTGACTCAACAAAGTTGTTGGATGCATTTGCAGTTTGTTTTGGTTGTGTTTCAGATGATGTTGTGCCCAACAGAAATGTATTGTAAATAATGTGTTGTGATTTTGGAGTCACTTTTATTGTAAATAATGTTTCTGAACACTTCTACATTAATGTGGATGCTACCATGATTACGCATAATCATGAATAATGATGAGTGAGAAAGTTAGATGCATAAATATCATTCCCCTCAAAAAATTTGATTAATTCATGATTATCCGTAATCATGATAGCATCCACATTATTGTCGAAGAGTTCAGAAACATATTCTATTCTCATTTACAATAAAATTGAATCCAAAATGACACAATACATTTTTTACCATACATTTCTATTGGGAACGGAAAGGGGATACCTAGTCAGTTGTACAACTGAATGCATTCAACATAAATGTGTCTTCCGCATTTAACCCAACTCCTCTGAATCAGAAAGGTGCGGGGGGCTTGCCTTAATTGATATCCACGTCTTCGGCGCCCAGTTGCTGTTGGGAGTTTACTGCCTTGCTAAGGGGCAGAATGACATTTTTACCTTGTCGGCTCGGGGATTCGATCCGACAACCTTTCGGTTACCGGCCCAACACTCCTACCCGTCAGGCTACATACCACACTACATATTCCGACACACAACCAATACAAACTGCAAATACATCCAACAAGTTTGTAGAGTCACAAGCTTGATGTAGTCATTGCATGCTAGGAATATTGGACCAAATACTAAACGTTTAAATACATTTTATACACTAACAGAATTGTATTTTTATGACACCTTCAAATGGGGGGGACTAGATACATAAAGTGCATGAAATGTTTTAGCTTCACTGTCCAAATGCATTTTTTTTTTTTTTTTTATTCTGCTCTCCCCTTCACATTTTCCACATTTTGTTACGTTACAGCCTTTTTCTAAAATTGATTAAATTGTTTTTTCCCCCTCAATCTACACACAATACCCCACAATGACAAAGCAAAAACTGATTTGTATAAATTATTCCAAATATATTACAAAAAAACAACAACTCACATTTACATAAGCATTCAGAACCCTTTACTCAGTACTTTGTTGAAGCATCTTTGGCAGCGATTAAAGCCTTGGTCTTCTTGGGTATGACGCTACAAGCTTGGCACACCTGTATTTGGGGAGTTTCTCCCATTCTTCTCTGCAGATCCTCTCAAGCTCTGTCAGGTTGGATGGGGAGCGTCGCTGCACAGCTATTTTCAAGTCCGGGCTCTGGCTGGGCCACTCAAGGACATTCAGAGACTTGTCCCGAAGCCACTCCTGCGTGGTCTTAGCTGTGTGCTTAGGGGTCGTTGTCCTGTTCGAAGGTGAACCTTCGTCCCAGTCTGAGGTCCTGAGCGCTCTGGAGCAGGTTTTCATCAAGGATCTCTTTCCCTCAATCCTGACTAGTCTCCCAGTCTTGGTTTCATCAGACCAGAGAATCTTGTTTCTCATGGTCAGAGAGTCCTTTAGGTAACTTTGGGCAAACTCCAAGTGGGCTGTCATGTGCCTTTTACTGAGGAGTGGCTTCTGGAAGGTTCTCCCATCTCTACAGAGGAACTTGGGTTCTTGGTCACCTCCCTGACCAAGGCCCTTCTCCCCCGATTGCTCCGTTTGGCCGGGCGGCCAGCTCTAGGAAGAGTCTTGGTGGTTCCAAACTTCTTCCATTTAAGAATGATGGAGGCCACTGTGTTCTTGGGGATCTTCAATGCTGCAGAAATTTTTTTGGTACCCTTCCCCAGATCTGTGCCTCGACACAATCTTGTCTCCGAGCTCTACGGACAATTCCTTCGACCTCATGGCTTGGTTTTTGCTCTGACGTGCACTGTCAACTGTGGGACCTTATCTAGACGTGTGTGCCTTTCCAAATCATGTCCAATCAAGTGAATGTACCACAGCTGGGCTCGAATCAAGTTGTAGAAACATCTCAAGGATGATCAATGGAAAGATGATGCACCTTAGCTCAATTTCGAGTCTCATAGCAAAGGGTCTGAATACTTAAGTAAATAAGGTGTGTGTGTGTATATATATATATATATATATCACTTGTACATTTGCAAAAATTAAAAAAAATCTGTTTTCGCTTTGTCATTATGGGGTATTGTGTGTAGATTGATGAGGAAAAAAACTAATTTAATACATTTTTGAATAAGGCTTTAACGTAACAACAAAATGTGGAAAAAGGGAAGGGGTCTGAATACTTTCCGAATGCACTGTAGCTGGTAGTTAATTACAACTCTGATAAAATGTTTCTGCTTACTACATCATCAGTTAAACGGATTCTTCTCGCTTTCCTTCCTTCACAGTGAACCGCACGCACGGTTTTACGCTGCACAGATAGTACTGACGTTCGAGTATCTCCATTCACTAGACCTTATCTACAGAGATCTGAAGCCTGAGAACCTTCTAATCGATCAGCACGGCTACATCCAGGTATGTGTGACCAGTGCTACAAGTGGATCATTTTTATTTTACAGCACCGGGGTTCTTATTTTAGAGCCAATATTTCATAAGAGATGCTGGTAGGCCTACTCACAGGGATGCAAACTCATCGCTTTTCGGTGATATTCACCGTTTTGATCTCAAAATAGGCCATCCACGTGAATCGTGTAGACCTGAAGAGAAAAGGGGGGAGGGGTCTGTATCTCATATTGAAATCATTGACTGAGCACAGAAAGTTATTAAACGTATTGAACTTAAGAGAAAGGTAGTTAAATTGCACAAGTTTCTCATAGTTAATGAAAATAATGCATCAGTGATTCGTATTTCCAGTAACTTTCTGAAGAAGTAACACCTGTGTGTGTTGTGTAGCCAGTTAGCATGCCGAAACAGTCATTTCTAAAGGCTTTCCCAAAAAACCTTGCCAATTAAATGTTGTCTGCAAAGTAGGCCTACCTGGCTGGCAGAATGATGATCATGATACATTTGTACCAATCGGGTTCACATGAAACACTGCTACAGAAACACTGCTACTAGCCAAACACAAGTCTCTTGCTGGTGCACAATTGAATTAAAGGGCAACTACACCCTCCCACACACCTCAAATGTGGTCTCCTGATGTGGTTGAAGCATTGTTGTGAACTTAGAACATAACATTTTGTTGGTTTTCTATCAATAAAAGTGTGATCTTGAGAGTGAAAAAATCTGAAACCTGGAAAAGCAAAACCAAGAACGGAATTTGGCAAAAACTAAAACAGATTTTATAGTGCCCTATGTTTTGTTGTCTGGGGAGACCTGAGATTATCATTACCTGTCATGATAAACCTTAAACCCAGGAGAAAGAGCCCAACTCCCCCTACCCCAGAACACCATTTTCTCTGTCCATTGTGGTTTGTAAAGTTAGGAGTGTTGAGATTATTCAAATGTGTATTTATTACTTGTTATTCTCTGAAAATAAGCCAATTTTCTTGCACTTCACACAGATTTTTCATCTTTCCAAATGAATTTTTTTGTCACCATGTTGGGCCCTCACCAGTTTGCATCCCTGTACTCAAGCAGTAGAACATTTGAGGTGCCAGTACTGTGTACCGGGGCACACTGGCCTAACTTGAGCACTGTGCGTGACACATCACTGCCTATGGCGTATACTGTAATGATGGGTTGTGTTTTCTCTGCTATGTTGCTTTACTGACTGTACGTGTTCTTTGTGGTCAGGTGACAGACTTTGGATTCGCCAAGCGGGTAAAAGGCAGAACCTGGACATTGTGTGGAACTCCAGAGTACCTGGCGCCCGAGATCATCCTCAGCAAGGTGAGAGTCCTGTCTCTCTCTCTCGCTCACTCACACTGAATTAAATTACTCAATTTGAAGACATGGAACATTGTTTGTTGCGATGAATTTAGATTACATATGTGTTTGTGAACTACATTTGTCATTGTGCTGTGTGTAGGGCTACAACAAAGCAGTGGACTGGTGGGCCCTGGGGGTGCTTATATATGAGATGGCGGCTGGATACCCTCCCTTCTTCGCTGACCAGCCTATTCAGATCTATGAGAAGATCGTGTCTGGAAAGGTATGGACAAGTCAATTTTACATTAAGCATGTCTGAAATGGCCTACCTATTTCACCTGCAGTTTAACACATTTTGAACACCTGTCCTGTCCTCATGGAGTAAGCTTAACTCAGTGGGAGGTTTTAACTGTCCAATGAATCCTTGTCTTGCTTTTGGCTTAGCCTCTTCTGTCTTCAATCACTTACTATACAGGTCCAACTAGGAACAAATGTACATTTCTCAATACATTACGGGGCGGCAGGTAGCTTAGTGGTTAAGAGCGTTGTGCCAGTAACCGAAAGGTCGCTGGTTCTAATCCCCGAGCAGACTAGGTGAAAAATCTGTCGATGTGCCCTTGAGCAAGGCACTTAACCCTAATTGCTCCTGTAAGTCGCTCTGGATAAGAGCGTCTGCTAAATGACAAAAAAAAAAATGTTTTTGACAAAACCTCTTGTGTCCCCCTGTAGGTTCGCTTCCCGTCCCACTTCAGCTCTGACCTGAAGGACCTGCTGAGGAACCTGCTGCAGGTGGACCTGACCAAGCGCTACGGCAACCTGAAGAATGGCGTCAACGACATCAAAGGACACAAGTGGTTCGCTACAACGGACTGGATTGCCATCTATGAGAGGAAGGTACATACAAGGCTGTGTTGGAAGATGAGGACAATCAATGCGAAGTTGAATTGCTCTTTATAGCACATAACTTTTATGAAACACATTGGCCAAAGTCTTGCCTACTACTTACTAAAACGACATACTGTGTACTAATCATACTACAAACTATTTCAGCAACAAATATCAACATACTACTCATCCATACTGAGAAGGCATAATCTAAATGCACAATCGCTCTTGTTCCACACCATTTGTACATTTTTGCAGAGCATGTCCCCTATTCTAATTATCAGCTGTTGTCAAACACACGTGGGTCTGAAAAGACCATTCTCTTCCTCAATAGTGTGCAGCGAATTCTAAATGAAAAGCCGAAATGAGTATGACATCCTGCGATTTAAAGTATACTACATCTTTTAAATTTCACATTCTATAAAACGTTTTATTTTTGCATAGCCAAAAATCCTACTATTTAGAACGCAAGTATGGGTATTCAGACATGGCCTCTGTATTTTATTGATGTCCAGTAGTACTTTCTTGAGCATTGTGATCTTGCAACAATAGTCTTTATATGGCGTCATAATAATGTTTTCTATTTGACTTACTATAATTACTTCATAATGCATTTTGCTGAATGGTGGTATTACCTAGGCATCTGAAAATTATTGTATTACAATATCATTGAAGTACTGGCTTGGTCTCCTCTAAGGCAAACTCCCTCTAACTCCGCCCCTGGTTGTGCTGCTCACTGTGTTTTCAGGTGGAAGCCCCGTTCATACCAAAGTGTCGAGGCGCTGGAGACACGAGCAACTTCGACGACTACGAGGAGGAGGAGATCCGAGTCTCCGTAACGGAAAAATGTGCAAAGGAGTTTTCCGAGTTTTAGGACGTGCAAACGTGGATATATCAGGGCTAAAACACACATGAAAAATAAGGGGATCTTTGCACTCTTCTAAAGACTTTGGGTTGGAGCAGAGACCATTGTTCAACTATTACTACGTAGTTCCTTCATTCCACAAGGCTGAATGAGGTCGCCATGATCCTTGGGTGCCGATGATAACACCTTCACTGTCACACATACCTGCATATTAAAGCAGACACACCACCTTTTTTTTTTTAATCCCCTCTACCCACTCTGTTTTTGAACTTTGAAGCAGTTGTTGTCTTGGATGTTGTGCTCCCCTTTGCAGATGTGATATTTTTCAATTTAGGAGAAAAACCAGAATGAGAGTAACTATATGAAACAAAGGCCAATTTAATAGAATTCCACGCAGTGTAACTTCAAACCGACTTGTCTGTGGCAGTATCACACATGGTTGTGTGGTTTTGTAGGGCAGTGCCTCTAGTTGTCAACAGTTTAGATGTTATGGTCTGTTACAAAGCCAATGCTTTTCAAGAGAAAATTATTCTCTCACCTTATACTAGGACAATGTTTTGGTCAGCTTTCAGAAATAATATTTGTCCTTTGTGTATAATGTTTGTCACTAAGTAAGACACATTAAACACCATTGAGTGCTAAGAGCATGACCAAAATACAACTAATTGGGTGACGGAGGAAGAGAGGTCCCTCCTTTTCTTTGCTTTTGTCTGTAGACCCCTTTAGATTTAGAACCAATTCCAACGGCCCCACAAAGCGCCCATTCTCTGGCCCATTGGTATTCTGGCCCTGTTACAGGGAAGTCATTGCAGGGAATGGCGAACCCAACTACAAACAGAAAATAGCAAAACGGTGGTCCTTGTTTCTATTTGTGCCAGAGAAATTATAGAATTTGTAATCTCTCATTTTTATTTAACATATTTTAATCCATGGATTAAAACTGCAGGTTTTTTGGTCCCTAAGATTTCAGGTCCGCTAATAAAAAAGGACACTTTTAAATGAATTTGTGGAGCAGCGGAGCTCCTGATGTGTTAAAGTGAAATGAAGTCCTTTTGAGGTGCACTCTTTAAATGTATCAGTTCAGTGTGTATAGTGGTGTGGCTTTTGCCTCAACATTGTAAGTAGAACCAGTACACACTTCATAACAATATATTGATGCTAAGCTGTTTTGCAAGCATCTCAAAAGGGATCACAAAACAATTAGGTTTTCCATGTTTTCCCTATTGCTGTTCTTGACTTCCCTCCTTTCCTTGTTTGTTTCATTCTTATGACAGAATGTAGAGTTGCAACTTATAGGTATGCATAGTTTGAAATGCTTGACTTCAAGGTACATTTGTTTTTTCTCACAGGCATACACTGGCAAAAAACAAACAAGACTGCTCCTTGACCTTTATCACATATAATCCAGTCATTGTTCAGCTCATTACATTATACGTATATGCATTGTTTCATATATATATATATATGTTTTTATTTATACACATTAGAGATGCTAATACATTTTATTTTTAAAGTGTCAAAGTTTGGAACGTTTTTTGTAATCTTGTGGTGTAAATAACGGCATACTGCTGTAGGAGTGTTCATGTGTGGGCGATCTATTTGTCAAACTATGTAAAGCAGGATAACATCCAAGAGAGACCAGTCTTCATCACACGTCATGACTGAAATGTTCATGTACTTGTTAATTACCACATATGAAGTATTGTAGATTAATTTTTTGGATCACTTTCACTTATGTCATAGGGCTTTTTTGGCTTGTCCACTTCTCTCAGTTAAATCACTTCCTAATTTCCCAGGTAAATGAGATGGCTTTGGCATTACAACAGCGATCATTTCAACGAGTTTGGCTATAAGTTAAGAAAGTAATTCAGGAAATTCCGTCAATCTTTTAAATGTTCACAATTCACAAATAATTACATTTCCTGAAGAAAATATGTGCTTTCTTTAGCGGTCTAAAAGCATTTGTATGGTAGTGGGAGATTTGAATCCAAGCTCTTTAGAAGCTGAAGTGTTTCAATATACTAAGGATAGGTCTGATTACTAGTCGACTGCTATATATGAAAAATGGCAGTATGCCTCTGAAAAATGAAATGTGCCTAAAACTCGTTCGGGATGTTCTTTCAATGGTGCTATCCTACTCCTGACAGCAGTGTAGTTAATTAGGGGTTACCCTGAACGGACCTTAAACCATCTTCCCTGTGACTGTCATTCCAAAACCATTATACCAAAAGGCTTAAATGGGTGGTTCACTTTTTTTTGTTGTTGTACCAAATGTCTTTTTTTAAATGTAAATGGCATGTTATAGAAGTGTCTCCATACCGTTTTTTATTAGATTTCGCTTGGTTTTGAGAAACTTACCGCACCAGCAATAGAGTTCCTCATTTATCCTTCAGCTGCAGTATGGGTGCCACTTCCTCATTTATCCTTCAGCTGCAGTATGGGTGCCACTTCCTCATTTATCCTTCAGCTGCAGTATGGGTGCCACTTCCTCATTTATCCTTCAGCTGCAGTATGGGTGCCACTAGCCCTTGATCATGACTCTCAGTTCCTTTACATTACACAGAAGTCATTGGAGGAAGGCGTCTTCTGTACGGGGAGTTTTGTTAAGAGCCCCGACGCTCAGTCTGAACATTAATACGCATCGCTTGCTATACGGTTTTATAAGCATAATACTTATCTTTCATATCAGCGAGGGAAAAAATTATAATTGATACACACCTTTATAGGGTTAGTGTTCCCACACGGCCATATCTACATGTTAAAGTGCGTGTTTATGGAAGACAGAGGGACCACCTGTGCTAATTAGCTATCTAGCATGCTCCGAACACCTGTATGAAATGGAAGAAGGCCGCCAGAAACATATTGTCTCTGGGGAAAAACTGTCGGCTGCAACTGTGATAAAGCCGGGTAAAATAGTGTACAGTAGGTGTATATTTAGCATTTGTGAAATTATTTTGATGTGATGTGAAAGTAAAAGGCTTTTTGTTTCTAGAACCGCATTCAATTGAGAATCGATTCACGTTTAGATGAAGTATTTGGCAGTTTTGGCTGCCATAGCCAGTCTACCTCTGAAAATAAGGTCCTTGGACCTTAAGTAGTAACGAACGATAGGCTCCTTAAAACCTTTTACTGCGGTGGGCTAAATGAGGGTTACACAGTGTTTCATTCCCACCCATGAGACCACAGGGTCATTTAACTGCAGGAAAGGGCTACAAGTACATATTGTGCTAGAGGGACATGGATAAACACGAACAAATGCACACACAAAAAGACAAATATATTATTTAGAAATTGCAAAACTCTCTGGTCTTTAGATGTTGTATACATGAAATGGTGTAATACTTTATCCACAACCTTATGTTCCATTTTGTTGGACTCAAGCGATAATTGTGAGTGCAAGCTTGCTCGTGCTTGTGGGAATACAAATGAGAAAGCTCGCAAAAAAGTGTCTGGAAAAGTGTTATATTTCCATGCTATTTACATCAAACATAGAGATGTGGTTTAAAAAGTTAATCACTACTTTAAATGTCTTGGTAAGGTCGCCAAACCGTATTTGGTTTTGTTTTAGGTTAGTGACGGGAAGTTAGGCTCTTTTTACTGACTTGGATCTTTTTGACTCGTTCAGTCAGAAGAACGAATCTTTCGACTCATTTCGTTCATTTGAGTCAGTAATGCCCAGTGCACGCACGACACCTATCAGCGAACGATGAACTGAAAACTCGAAAGAGTTACATGTCTATCACCACAGGGGGTTTATTGGAGCTATCATTTGTGACTGAGACTTGTAAACGTGTGCTTTAAACAATGTAGATTTGTTGATTGCTAGGCATACACATAATATTATTTATTGATACATTTGAAACGAGGTCTAGTTGTGGCGCAACCGGACTATATTGTGAACTACTCTTGGCGGAATGCATTGCTTGCGGTGAGGGTTGATAAGCACAGTCGTTCGCAAACTGCAGCACCCCTAACGATTTCGAGTTCGAGCTATTTGGTTATGTTTTGGTTCTACAAAGCTGTGTCCATCATAACATTCAATAATCAATTAATTGCACTCATTCTTGCACCATGTGATCAATTATCAGTTCTAAACATGCATTTTTCTTCTCTATGCTTATTTCATGATCTATTTTACTGCGCTCATATGACAGACAGTTAGTGGTTGGAGCACATCTCTGGAGCCGCTGAGCGTGTATTAATCCTGCTGTATGTCTCATTGCAACTAGCACTATCATGTCAAACGAACAACTCAAATGAACGAGTCACTCAGAAAAACGAATCATGACTCGAGTCAGTAAAAATAGTCGTTCAAAACTAATGAATCGTTCGCGAACTGTACATTACTATTTTGGATTCCTAAAGCCACCGTATCTACTCCGGTGGGCGTGTGGGTAATGTAGTGTATAGCACGTGTGCGTAGTTTTCTTGCGCCAGTTCAAACGTTAAAATATGGCAGGCCTGGAGTTGTTGTCAGATCAAGGATATCGTCTTGATGGAAGAAAAGCTGCTGAACTGCGCAAAGTACAAGCTCGTATGGGTGTATTTGCCCAAGCTGACGGGTCTGCATACATAGAACAGGGAAATACCAAAGCGCTGGCAGTTGTGTATGGCCCTCATGAAGTAAGTTTCTTGCTAAAATAGCGTGTTAGCAAGATAACTATTTAGCTCGCTACATATATAACAACACGCTAGCTAGCTAACGTTAGTTTGCATACAACTGAGATTCATTAGCTATGGAAATTGGTTTAGCTCGGCTAGCATTTGAGCTCAGTTTGTTTATCCAAATTGTCATATTTTTCCTACATAGCTAATGTGTTCAGCCCCCTGATTCTAGTCTAGAGAGCTAAACCATCTACCCAGCACACTTCCACCTGTGCCTAGGGTCCAGACCGCTTGGCAGAGGCGGAAGTATACTCACATACAGGGAGACTACACTCTTCCACCTATGGCCCAAGAGATCGTGAGGGTATATCACTGCTGCCACCAGTGCAGCGATTGAGAAGGAACTGTTGGCTCAGGACTTGAAGAATCAGTGAGGCTGCAGTTAGTTGGCTCGAGAGGAGTGCATTTAAAATCAAATGTACTCTGTTCCCCAGGTGCGAGGCTCCCGCAGCAAGACGCTCCATGACCGTGCTGTTATCAACTGCCAATACAGCATGGCCACCTTCAGTACAGCAGAGAGGAAGAGGAGACCCCACGGGGACCGCAAGTCCACAGAGATGAGCCTTCACCTCAAGCAGACGTTCGAGGCAGCAGTGTTGACTAATCTGTACCCACGCTCTCAAATTGACATTTATGTCAAGGTACCACACTATTTCAGATATAAATGAACTATGAAATGGGTTGTGGTGGAGTCTGATACTATTCATAAAATGGTGAATGAAATTGGTTGTATATCCAGTTTTTGGGATTTGGAACCAATTTAGATTTTTTTGTCTGGTTAGTTTCATGTTCTCAGGTATAGAGGTTTCTTCATCAATTTGAACCCTGAAACATGGGGTTAAAAAACAACCTGACTTGAATTGAAACATTTCACACTCCCTCTTCCCTCTCAGATCTTGCAGTCAGATGGAGGGAACTACAGCGCATGTGTGAACGCCGCCACTCTGGCAGTAGTCGATGCGGGCATCCCCATGCGTGACTATGTGTGCGCCTGCACTGCAGGCTTTGTGGACGAGACTCCGTTGGCAGACCTGTGCCATGCTGAAGAGAGTGGAGGGGGCACATCACTGGCCCTGGCATTGTTGCCCTGTGGCGGGCACATCGCCCTGCTACAGATGGATGCCCGACTTCACCAGGACCACCTAGAGACACTGATGGAGGCGGCAATGACGGCCTGTAAGGGCGTCAGCAAAGTGTTGGACGAGGTGGTGAGGCAGCATCTTCAGGAGGTGTCTGCGCTGACTGGAGAGTGATGTAGCTTGGACTTTGGGGTAGATTGGCCTGCGTGAAACAATTTATTTATTGTACAATCGTGTTATGCTTTTGTATGAAATGCCTTATAAACAATTAAATCTAAACCCATTGATGTGTTCTGTCTGTTTTGAATGATCCATAACTTGACTAAGATGATTTGTTGACACAGAGCCATAGATAAGGGTCTACATAAGATAAATCAGTCAGCAAAAATAAAACACTACTGATTTGTAGCATCACTTGAATTGTGTGTTTTTGATATAGATTTCTGTGAAACTTTGTTTAGGTCATCTTCCAAACCAACAGGGAGAGCCAGTCATAAATGGCAATGCAGTAATCTATTTTTATATATACTGAACAAAAATATAAACGCAACATGTAAAGTGTTGCTTTATATTTTTGTTCTGTGTACATGTTTCATTGCTAAAGCAGAAGTTCAGTTGGTCTGTCAAACAATAGTCCGGTAAGAAACGAGGGGAAAAAAGACTGGCGAAAAATGTAGAGCAGTACAGGCTAGCTTCACCTGTCAAATCTTGGGTGTTTCCCTTCTTGTGCCCGATAGGTAGGCTCTGGCTTATAACTACAATTTGTAAAGGTATTAGATACATTGTTTGGTTGAAAATAAACACCGTTTCGGGTATTTGCGCGTGCAATGTAGCTGGTTCTATGCTGCTAGCTAACACATCGTCCAATCAATAGAGGGTTACTCTGAAGGTTAGCAGGTAGCTAGCTAGGTTAACGCTGTAGATAGCTAAAGTAGCGTAAGGGGATGACTAAAGCTATTGTGTGGGTCTTTGTTTTCTAGGGTCCAGCTGAGCCAGTGTGAGTGGTACAAGGCAACAATATGGGACTGCTGTCTGACCCAAACCGAAGGCGAGCCCTGACCAACCTTCTCACCTGTCTCAATGCACCAATTTGGTGAGTCCTTGTAGAATCCTGAAGAAGAATCCATTGGGTAAGTGGAATGTATCAGGCCATCCTCTTGATGCACCTAATCCACTTTGTAGGGTATCATTTAAATTGTGCCTCTGTTTGTGTATGACGCAATGCTCTAAACTGATATGAAGACATACACTTCTCACTGATTTCTCTCTCTGCTCTATGTCCCCCCAGTGTTGTGTGCTACCTGGTGGGTGTGGCATGGTTCATGGGCTTGGCCTGCGAACCGTTCACGCTGCGCACCTACATGTCAGAGAACGCCATGGGCTCCACCATGGTGGAGGAACGCCACCGTCAGGGAGTTTGCTGCTCAAAAGATAACAGTAGGGTGAGTCGGACTGATAAGCCTTCCTCCTATAACCTATCACTAGTGTCAGGAGTTTTTCTTGTTCGTGTAAACAAGGAAAAACTATCGGCCCTTCCTATCACTAACCCCAACTTTGACATTCAGTGCTTATCCTACCTATCACAATTCCAGCTGTAAGAGTGCTATAATCCCCCTGTCCCCTCCTGTAATATTCCTTCTGTGTTTCTCTTCCTCTCCTTTCCGCTCTTCTCTCTGTAGTGGGTAGTGGGATGCCGGTGGATTGGCTGGTGTATACCATGCAGTCTCGAGGGCTGGAAGTGTTTACTCAAACTTCCCTTCCCGATGAAAACAAAGAGAGATATGCGAGTGTGTGCTAAGACAAATATGTCTAAACATGCATTTCATTTGATCCCAGTGTGCACACACTTTCACACAGATGCATTCCCTCCTCTCAGGCTTTAATTTCGTATCTTTCTCTCACTCATCATTCTCTCTGTTTGTCTGTCTATCTCGGTCAGACAGTGCATGGCACTAACGTTTATGGGATCCTGCGGGCCCCAAGAGCCCCTCGTACTGAAGCCCTGGTGCTGAGCGCCCCCTGTAGTGAGGGAAACAACAACAACCAGGCAGTGGGTCTTCTGCTGGACCTCGCCCAGTACTTCAGGAGTAAGCATGCTACTTACACAGACCATTGCAGAAGCACCACACAAGCATACAACCCTACTTCCTTTTTTAAATTGATCAGTAAATGATTTGGTCTCTTCTTAGGTCAGATCCACTGGGCAAAGGACATCATCTTCCTGGTTGATGAACATGACCTGATCGGCATGCAGGCACGAGGGATACCATCACACCAACACCACTGGTCAGTACCTACATCTCTAATACCACCACACAAACGGTCAGTACCTGCATCTTTAATACCACCATACCAACGGTCAGTACCTACTTCTCTAATACCAACACCACTTGTCATTACCTACATCTCTAATACCACCACACCAACACCACTGGTCAGTACCTGCATCTCACCAACATCTGGATCTCTGTAATGATGTAACCCTGTAATGCACCAGTCGTAGAGACACCAATATGGACTCTTTATGTATTCTCAATGTCTCTATACCATCAACCCCAACCCTGCCACCACTGTGCCTCACTCTGGGTCCCCCAGGTGGTGACTGGTCTCCGCTGCAGGGGAGAGGTGGCTCTGTCTCTGGAGCTGAGCAGTGATGTCATCACCAGTCTGGACCTGGTTCTGGAGGGGCTCAATGGCCAGCTGCCAAACCTGGACTAGGCCAACCTCTTCTACGCCTTCTGCCAAAAGATAGTGTACTTGTGTACCATCCAGGGCAAGGTAAGGAGGTCCAAATGCCAGCACTTACTTCAGTGAGTAAGTTATTTGATATACACTGCTCAAAAAAATAAAGGGAACACTTAAACAACACAATGTAACTCCAAGTCAATCACACTTCTGTGAAATCAAACTGTCCACTTAGGAAGCAACACTGATTGACAATACATTTCACATGCTGTTGTGCAAATGGAATAGACAACAGGTGGAAATTATAGGCAATTAGCAAGACACCCCCAATAAAGGACTGCTTTGCAGGTGGTGACCACAGACCACTTCTCAGTTCCTATGCTTCCTGGCTGATGTTTTGGTCACTTTTGAATGCTGGCGGTGCTTTCACTCTAGTGGTAGCATGAGACGGAGTCTACAACCCACACAAGTGGCTCAGGTAGTGCAGCTCATCCAGGATGGCACATCAATGCGAGCTGTGGCAAGAAGGTTTGCTGTGTCTGTCAGCGTAGTGTCCAGAGCATGGAGGCGCTACCAGGAGACAGGCCAGTACATCAGGAGACGTAGAGGAGGCCGTAGGAGGGCAACAACCCAGCAGCAGGACTGCTACCTCCGCCTTTGTGCAAGGAGGAGCAGGAGGAGCACTGCCAGAGCCCTGCAAAATGACCTCCAGCAGGCCACAAATGTGCATGTGTCTGCTCAAACGGTCAGAAACAGACTCCATGAGGGTGGTATGAGGGCCCGACGTCCACAGGTGGGGGTTGTGCTTACAGCCCAACACCGTGCAGGACGTTTGGCATTTGCCAGAGAACACCAAGATTGGCAAATTCGCCACTGGCGCCCTGTGCTCTTCACAGATGAAAGCAGGTTCACACTGAGCACATGTGACAGACGTGACAGAGTCTGGAGACGCAGTGGAGAACGTTCTGCTGCCTGCAACATCCTCCAGCATGACCGGTTTGGCGGTGGGTCAGTCATGGTGTGGGGTGGCATTTCTTTGGGGGGGCCGCACAGCCCTCCATGTGCTCGCCAGAGGTAGCCTGACTGCCATTAGGTACCGAGATGAGATCCTCAGACCCCTTGTGAGACCATATGCTGGTGCGGTTGGCCCTGGGTTCCTCCTAATGCAAGACAATGCTAGACCTCATGTGGCTGGAGTGTGTCAGCAGTTCCTGCAAGAGGAAGGCATTGATGCTATGGACTGGCCTGCCCGTTCCCCAGACCTGAATCCAATTGAGCACATCTGGGACATCATGTCTCGCTCCATCCACCAACGCCACGTTGCACCACAGACTGTCCAGGAGTTGGCGGATGCTTTAGTCCAGGTCTGGGAGGAGATCCCTCAGGAGACTATCCGCCACCTCATCAGGAGCATGCCCAGGCGTTGTAGGGAGGTCATACAGGCACGTGGAGGCCACACACACTACTGAGCCTCATTTTGACTTGTTTTAAGGACATTACATCAAAGTTGGATCAGCCTGTAGTGTGGTTTTCCACTTTAATTTTGAGGGTGACTCCAAATCCAGACCTCCATGGGTTGATAAATTTGATTTCCATTGATAATTTTTGTGTGAAAGTATTTAATAAGATTATTTCATTCATTCAGATCTAGGATGTGTTATTTTAGTGTTCCCTTTATTTTTTTGAGCAGTGTACTTGCAGAAGGTACTTCGATTTTTTATGTTTTCAGAGAGGCCTAACAATAGCACACCACAAACATTTAGGCTTGTCCCTTCCTCTGTGTTTGTGTCAGGTAAGGACGAACCAGTAATAACATGGTGTAATAACACGTTGAATTGCCTGACTGTCACGCTGACTGCCCTCTCTCCATCCAGCTCCAGAGGAACGACTGGGACAGTACGTCGGGCTACAGTCACGCGGCCCAGACCATGATGCTGATGGTGTTGAAGCAGGCCAGCGGGCGGCCCTGGGGGGACCACGGCCTGTTCCTTAGATACCACATAGAGGCTGCCACCGTCAGGGGCCATCAACAGCTTCAGACAGTACAAGACTGACACCACCACCATCGGCAGATGATCAGAAAACGTTAGAATTCTTGTCATTTCTATGGTGACATTTTCACTGTTAAAATTCCATGAAAATAAACCTGTGTGTGTGTCCCTCATCCTCAGGCTCCTGGAGGGGATGTACCGGAAGCTGAACAACCTCCTGGAGCGTCTGCACCAGTCCTACTTCTCATGCCCTCACTCTCTCGCTTTGCCTCCATTGGTTACTACATGCCCGCCTTCGGCCTGCTGGCTGTCATCCTGCTGCTGCGTGTATCCTTCCACCTCTGGGACCTTAGGGGATTCTAGTTTTATTTAACCGTTATTTAACCAGGTAGTCCAATTGAGATCAGATTACCTTCTTCCGAAGGGAGACCTGACCAAGAGGGGAGGAGGGTTGGAATTAACAGAACAGATATTAGTTTTGGTCCATTTCTCTATGTTAGTCAATTACATAAAAATAATACATTAATTATGTTACAGTCCAAAGGCCCTGATAGGGGTTAATGTTATGCTGATGTAGTTAAGCTGAATGTACACTTTCATTAAGTCACGACGAGATTGCTCTGAATCAGGCTGTGTATGTGTTGATGATAATAGTTTAATGTACTGGTGCTCTGGTGCCTGTCAGTCTACTTCCTAAGTTTGAGTTATTCACTGCGTTAGCACACTCTGCCAACCCTGATGTTCTAGCAGTGTCTGAATCCTGGCTCAGGAAGGCCACCAAAAATTCTGAAATGTCCATCCCCAACTATAACATTTTCCGTCTAGATAGAACTGCCAAAGGGGGTGGAGTTGCAATCTACTGTAGAGATAGCCTGCAGAGCTCTATCATACTATCCAGGTCTGTGCCCAAACAGTTTGAGCTTCTACTTCTAAAAATCCACCTTTCCAGAAATAAGTCTCTCACTGTTGCCGCTTGCTACAGACCCCCCTCAGCCCCCAGCTGTGCCCTGGACACCATATGTGAATTGATTGCCCCCCATTTATCCTCAGAGTTTGTACTGCTTGGTGACCTAAATTGGGATATGCTTAATACCCCAGCCATCCTACAATCCAAGCTAGATGCCCTCAACCTCACGCAAATTATCAACGAACCTACCAGGTACAACCCTAAATCCGTAAACATGGGTACCCTCATAGATATCATCCTGACTAACATACCCTCTAAATACACCTCAGCTGTCTTCAACCAGGATCTCAGCGATCACTGCCTTATTGCCTGCGTCCGTAACGGGTCCGCGGTCAAACGACCACCCCTCATCACTGTCAAACGCTCCCTAAAACACTTTAGCGAGGAGGCCTTCCTAATTGACCTGGCCCAGGTATCCTGGATGGATATAGATCTCATTCCGTCAGTAGAGGATGCCTGGTTGTTCCTTAAAAGTAATTTCCTCTCAATCTTAAATAAACATGCCCCATTCAAAAAATACAGAACTAAGAACCGATATAGCCCCTGGTTCTCCTCAGACTTGACTGCCCTTGACCAGCACAAAAACATCCTGTGGCGTACAGCATTAGCATCAAATAGCCCCCGCGATATGCAACTTTTCAGGGAAGTTAGGAAACAATATACACAAGCAGTCAGGAAAGCAAAGGCTAACTTTTTCAAACAGAAATTTGCATCCTGTAGCACTAACTCCAAAAAGTTTTGGGACACTGTAAAGTCCATGGAGAATAAGAGCACTTCCTCCCAGCTGCCCACTGCACTGAGGCTAGGAAACACTATCACCACCGATAAATCTACAATAATCGAGAATTTCAACAAGCATTTTGCTACAGCTGGCCATGCTTTCCATCTGGCTACCACTAACCCGGCCACCAACTCTGCACCCTCTGCTGCAACTTGCCCATTCCCCCCCCGCTTCTCCTTCACACAAATTCAGACAGCTGATGTTTTGAAAGCGCTGCAAAATCTGGACCCCTACAAATCAGCTGGGCTAGACAATCTGGACCCTTTCTTTCTAAAACTAGCCGCCGAAATTGTCGCAACCCCTATTACTAGTCTGTTCAACCTCTCTTTCATAACGTCTGAGATCCCCAGAGATTGGAAAGCTGCCGCGGTCATCCCCCTCTTCAAAGGGGGTGACACTCTAGATCCAAACTGCTACAGACCTATATCCATCCTGCCCTGCCTTTCGAAAGTATTAAAAAGCCAAGTTAACAAACAGATCATCGACCATTTCGAATACCACCATACCTTCTCCGCTATGCAATCCGGTTTCTGAGCTGGTCACGGGTGCACTTCAGCCACGCTCAAGGTCCTAAACGATATTATAACCGCGATTGATAATAGACAGTACTGTGCAGCCGTCTTCATCGACCTGGCCAAGGCTTTCGACTCTGTCAACCACCGCATTCTTATTGGCAGACTAAATAGCCTTGGTTTCTCAAATGACTGCCTCGCCTGGTTCACCAACTACTTCTCAGATAGAGTTCAGTGTGTCAAATCGGAGGGCCTGTTGTCTGGACCTATGGCAGTCTCTATGGGGGTGCCACAGGGTTCAATTCTTGGGCCGACACTTTTCTCTGTGTATATCAATGATGTCGCTCTTGCTGCTGGTGACTCTCAGATCCACCTCTATGCAGACGACACCATTTTGTATACATCTGGCCCTTCATTGGACACTGTGTTAACAAACCTCCAAACGAGCTTCAATGCCATACAACAATCCTTCAGTAGCCTTCAACTGCTCTTAAACACTAGTAAAACTAAATGCATGCTTTTCAATCGAACGCTGCTGGCACCCGCCCACCCGACTAGAATCACCACTCTCGACGGGTCTGACCTAGAGTATGTGGACAACTACAAATACCTAGGTGTCTGGTTAGACTGTAAACTCAACTTCCAGACTCACATAAAGAATCTCCAATCCAAAGTTAAATCTAGAATCGGCTTCCTATTTCGCAACAAAGCCTCCTTCACTCATGCTGCCAAACATGCCCTCGTAAAACTGACTATCCTACCGATCCTTGACTTCGGCGATGTCATTTACAAAATAGCCTCCAACACTCTACTCAGCAAATTGGATGTAGTCTATCACAGTGCCATCCGTTTTGTCTCCAAAGCCCCATACACTACCCACCACTGTGACCTGTACGCTCTTGTTGGCTGGTCCTCACTACATGTTCGTCGTCAAACCCACTGGCTCCAGGCCATCTATAAATCACTGCTAGGCAAATCCCCGCCTTATCTTAGCTCATTGGTCACCATAGCAGCACCCACCCGTAGTCTGCGCTCCAGCAGGTATATCTCACTGGTCATTCCCAAAGCCAACACCTCCTTTGGCCGCCATTCCTTCCAGTTCTCTGCTGCCAATGACTGGAACGAATTGCAAAAATCTCTGAAGCTGGAGACTCTTATCTCCCTCAATAACTTTAAGCATCAGTTGTCAGAGCACCTTACCGATCACTGCACCTGTACACAGCCCATCTGAAATTAGCCCACCCAACTACCTCATCCCTATATTGTTATTTATTTTGCTCTTTTGCACCCCAGTATCTCTATTTGCACATAATCTCTTGCACATCTAGCATTCCAGTGTTAATACTATTGTAATTATTCTGCACTATAGCCTATTTATTGCCTTACCTCCATAACTTGCTACATTTGCACACACTGTATATATATTTTCTGTTGTATTTCTGACTTTGTTTTTTACCCCATATGTAACTCTGTGTTGTTTTTATTGCACTACTTTGCTTTATCTTGGCCAGGTCGCAGTTGTAAATGAGAACCTGTTCTCAACTGGCTTACCTGGTTAAATAAAGGTGAAATAAAAAAATAAAAAAAGTATTGTCCTTAACGGCAGTAACAGGCCTTAGACCTGTTGGTTCAGCTAGGAGCTTCAGCACCAGGAACAGAGGACGGATTGAGGGAGAGCAGGTGTGTCATAGATTAATTCACACGTATGTGACTCTCTCTGGCACATATGTTTGTAATATGTAACTAGAGTATCTACTTTATATCTCTGGAAGTCTAACAATACCCTATTGGTCTATGGCAGTATATTTGACATTCTCCTCCTGTCTCCCTCTGTTCTCCATCAGCCCTCCAGCCCAGGGGTCCTGTCTATCCTGACTCCAGTAGTGATCAGTCACATGACAGGGGTGGCTCTGTACACCCTCCCCATCCTCTCTCAGCAGATGGCTGGGCAACACTTCCCTGTGTCCGAGACTGAAGCTGTGGTCCTCACTGCTATCGTTATCTACACAGCAGGCCCTGCCACACAACACAGGGCCTCCTGTAGCTCAGTTGGTAGAGCATGGTGCTTGCAACGCCAGGGTTGTGGGTTCAATTCCCACGGGGGGCCAGTATAAAAACGGTATGCACTCACTAACTGTAAGTCGCTCTGGATAAGAGCGTCTGCTAAATGACTAAAATGTCAATGTAAAACACACACAGGTACACACACACCCTCACATCCCTCTCTTTCTCTCACATACACACACACTCAAAGAAAACACAACCAGTGTTTTCCACTAGTGCCGGCTGTCAGCTATACAGCCGTTACACGCTCATTTTAAGCCAGGTACTTTTTCCACTTAAATTAACTAGGCTATTTTTTACAATTCGGAAGTCAGAAAAAGAGTCAGCCGAGCCCTCTCCCACTAGAATGAACAATATGCATCATCTAGCGATCTATTGATAGCACAGGTGCCTGTCAATCACAAAGTGAGCGATGACAGGGAAACAGCTGGTTTGACATTCTACTGTCTGTCTTGCTTCCCGGTACTTGTGGGTGTGTGTTGTGTACGCTGTGGTTGCAGTCACATTTCTTTACACGGAGGGCGAGAACATTATGCTCCTTCATCGTCTGTGAGTGCATTTGCACGTCCCATATAATGTGGTCATGATGAGTCTAAATCCATTTAGCCTATTTTCTGGCACATTCATATCTTTTCTTTCGCATTTCATATGGAGCCACAAAGTGCTGGTGCATAGGCTTAATGTGATCTGATTGACGAACAGCAAGCTTGACTAGTTTATAAATGGTGTCGAACTGACTTAATAAAGTCGATCTCATATATCCTTGCCATTCATAAATCATACAATGTAGTTATGTCTATGTAAACTAAAGACCTCGTTTGTATTTTTGATATGAAGTCCATCAGGACTTGCCAGACAGTGATGTTAAAGTGAGTGACTCGTCAGTTGCATACTGGTAGACTTTTTGGCAATTATCTACAGGAACAATAGGTAGGCTAGTGGAGCGATAGCCTCACTCTGGTCCAAAATATGATAAAAGAAAACAGATTGAATTGTTGTAAAAGCTAATGATACTTGTATGGTATTTTCAAAGATATTGATATAGGTCTACTAATTTAATCAAAGTGTTGACAATGGATTGGTCAACTGCTGCTTTCTGATTAATACATGCTTCATTCATACCTGTAGTGCAGATAGCTGAGAAAATGCCTCTTAAAAGGGAGCTTGAAGTCTGTTGAAGTCAGCAGACTCTTACAACATTCTTTAAAAAGAAATCTGTGAGTCAGATGTTAAACAAGTATATATTTTTTGTTGATAAATGAAATGACACTGCAATTCACAGAGTTGCAAACACGAATTTAACTGACATCGTTTTCTCTTATCTTAACATGTATGGACCCAGAACTTAATTGAGCATGTATTCTGTTTATTTTAGAGACCTATTTTTCAATTTGTATTTTTCAATTTGCCCATCACACAATTTGTTTGATTTAAAATGTAACCTTTAATTTAAAGAAATCAACAATTTGGGCTATGTACTTCATTTTTCATTTTTAATTAAATACATAATTTGAAGAACAAACATTGTGGCAACTCATATCTTGCAGTAAAATACTTTAATCTCAAGAGAAGACAGGTTAAATGTTAAAAAAGGTTTAATGTTCTCTTACTTAGAAAATACTCCTGATCATATAGGCCTAGACAATATCCCCAAAAACTAACAATACACTGAATTCATGAACTGTAAGTATTCAATAATTTTGCTGTGTATTTCAGATGGAGTCAAGGCATTCGACTGTACCAGAGGCCGCCAAATTAGAGATTGTTCAGCTAAAAAATCTTAACCCGGCCCGGGGGATCCTGGCTGGCTACTATTTCTATTTGTCTGGCTACTCAATGTGCTTGTTGAAAAAAAACTGCACAACCTGCATAGCTATCTTATCTCACACACTAAAAATATGCAATCATTATACTGGCCTCTAAAATCATTGACAGGGAGCAAATCTGTCTACATAAGGTCCCACAGTTGACAGTGCACGTCAGAGCAAAAACCAAGCCATGAGGTCGAAGGAATTGTCCGTAGAGTTCCGAGACAGGATTGTGTCGAGGCACAGATCTGAGGAAGGGTACCAAAACATTTCTGCAGCATTGAAGGTCCCCAAGAACACAGTGGCCTCCATCATTCTTAAATGGAAGAAGTTTGGAACCAACCAGACTCTTCCTAGAGCTGACCACCCGGCCAAACTGAGCAATCCGGGGAGAAGGGCCTTGGTCAGGGACATGACCAAGAACCCGATGGTCACTCTGACAGAGCTCTAGAGTTCCTCTGTGGAGATGGGAGAAACTTCCAGAAGGACAACCATCTCTGCAGCACTCCACCAATCAGGGCTTTATGTTAGAGTGGCTAGACGGAAGCCACTCCTCAGTAAAAGGCACATGACAGCCCGCTTGGAGTTTTCCAAAAGGCACCTTAAGACTCTGACCATGAGAAACAAGATTCTCTGGTCTGATGAAACCAAGATTGAACTCTATGGCCTGAATGCCAAGCGTCATGTCTGGAGGAAACCTGGCACCATCCCTACGGTGAAGCATGGTGGTGGCAGCATCATGCTGTGGGGATGTTTTTCAGCGGCAGGGACTGGGAGACTAGTCAGGATCGAATGTCCTTGAGTCGCCCAGCCAGAGCCCGTACTTGAACCCGATCGAACATCTCTGGAGAGACCAGAAAATAGCTGTGCAGCAACGCTCCCCATCCAACCTGAGAGAGCTTGAGAGGATCTGCAGAGAAGAATGGGAGAAACTCCCCAAATACAGGTGTGCCAAGCTTGTAGCGTCATACCAAAGAAGACTTGATGCTGTAATTGCTGCCAAAGATGCTTTAACAAAGTACTGAGTAAAGGGTCTGAATACTTATGTAAATGTGATATTTCCGTTGTTTGTGTATAAATTAGCAAGAATTTCTAAAAACCTGTTTTTGCTTTGTCATTATGGGGTATTGTGTGTAGATTGATGAAAAACAAACAATTTAATCAATTTTAGAATAAGGCTGTAACGTAACAAAATGTGGAAAAAGTCAAAGGGTCAGAATACTTTCCGAAGGCACTGTATGTTCCAAATTGTGTTGTGGTTCGACAAGAACACTTACATTCGCCTCTAAACATTGTATTAAAATGTGTCTCATCCATCCACCGCGTCCGCATTTTGACCAGATTAGCTGGTGCCTCCCTGTATCCACATTTGACAGATATTCTTTCAAAATAAAATGAATTTCTTAGTCTTAAGACAGTTACTGATGCCGTAAGTCAATATTTTGCTCCCTGTCAATGATTTTAGAGGCCGGTATAATGATTATTTCAATGGTTTGACCATCCAGATCGGTTTACACTTTATTGAGAAAGACTACAGAGTTGGTCAGGAAGATCTGATTACAATCTGATCTCAATGGGACTTTTAATAGTCTACACCGGTGTAAAAATGTGGACATGATCAGTACAAGGGGTTAGCACCAGGTATAAACAGGGCTTTTGTCTACTCTCTTCCTCCCTCTCTCTCCCCTCTAGGCTTCTGGAAGGACAGAGCAGGGCTGGAGGGTGCTGAAGCTGGTGGCTCTACTATAGCTGGATGTGTTACTGGGCTGCACTGCCCTCATCAACTTCCCGCTGGGCTTCATCCTGGCTCTGTCCTCGCTGCCTTCATCACACCACACACGCCAAAGTATTACTCTCACCCACACGTTTCTCCCTGTGTTGTGTGATTTCTTATAGAAGTAATCCTTCTCAATATGTGTCTTCTTAGACATTAAACTAGAGCGCAACATCACTAAGGGCTTGAGTCAATCCGTAGCTCTGAAGATCAGCGCTGTAGCGTGATTGAAATTGAAAGGTTATTTCCGGTATGCAGTGTTTTTACAGCGAACGCGGGAACATTGCCTTTACATTTCTATCGCACTGTAGTGCATGACTTCAGCGCTATGGATTGAATCGAGTCCTAAGGGCACAATGCATTGTTAGTTCCACTGTTCCTTGAGTGTGAGAATACAGTGAGGGAAAAAAGTATTTGATCCCCTGCTGATTTTGTACGTTTGCCCACTGAAAAAGAAATGATCAGTCTATAATTTTAATGGTAGGTTTATTTGAACAGTGAGAGACAGAATAACAACAAAAAAATCCAGAAAAATGCATGTCAAAAATGTTATAAATTGATTTACATTTTAATGAGGGAAATAAGTATTTGACCCCTCTGGCCCCTGCAAAACATTACTTAGTACTTGGTGGCAAAACCCTTGTTGGCAATCACAGAGGTCAGACGTTTCTTGTAGTTGGCCACCAGGTTTGCACACATCTCAGGAGGGATTTTGTTCCACTCCTCTTTGCAGATCTTCTCCAAGTCATTAAGGTTTCGAGGCTGACGTTTGGCAACTCGAACCTTCAGCACCCTCCACAGATTTTCTATGGGATTAAGGTCTGGAGACTGGCTAGGCCACTCCAGGACCTTAATGTGCTTCTTCTTGAGCCACTCCTTTGTTGCCTTGGCCATGTGTTTTGGTGCATTGTCATGCTGGAATACCCATCCATGACCCATTTTCAATGCCCTGGCTGAGGGAAGGAGGTTCTCACCCAAGATTTGATGGTACCCCGTCCATCGTCCCTTTGATGCGGTGAAGTTGTCCTGTCCCCTTACCAGAAAAACACCCCCAAAACATAATGTTTCCACCTCCATGTTTGACGGTGGGGATGGTGTTCTTGGGGTCATAGACAACATTCCTCCTCCTCCAAACACGGCGAGTTGAGTTGATCCCAAAGAGCTCGATTTTGGTCTCATCTGACCACAACACTTTCACCCAGTTCTCCTCTGAATCATTCAGATGTTCATTGGCAAACTTCAGACGGCCCTGTATGTGCTTTCTTGAGCAGGGGGACCTTGCGGGCGCTGCAGGATTTCAGTCCTTCACGGCGTAGTGTGTTACCAATTGTTTTCTTGGTGACTATGGTCCCAGCTGCCTTGAGATCATTGACAAGATCTGGGATGAGCAAGATGTAGTTCTGGGCTGATCCTCACCATGATCATTGCAACTCCACTAGGTGAGATCTTGCATGGCGCCCCAGGCCGAGGGAGATTGACAGTTCTTTTGTGTTTCTTCCATTTGTGAATAATTGCACCAACTGTTGTCATCTTCTCACCAAGCTGCTTGGCAATGGTCTTGTAGCCCATTCCAGCCTTGTGTAGGTCTACAATCTTGTCCCTGACATCCTTGGAGAGCTCTTTTGTCTTGGCCATGGTGGAGAGTTTGGAATCTGATTGATTGATTGCTTCTGTGGACAGGTGTCTTTTATACAGGTAACAAGCTGTGCTCCTAATCTCAGCTCGTTACCTGTATAAAAGACACCTGGGAGCCAGAAATCTTTCTGATTGAGAGGGGGTCAAATACTTATTTCCCTCATTAAAATGCAAATCAATTTATAACATTTTTGTCTCTCACTGTTCAAATAAACCTACCATTAAAATTATAGACTGATCATTTCTTTGTCAGTGGGCAAACATACATCAAATACTTTTTTCCCTCACTGTATTGTGTACGTGTAATGTTTCGCTCCCTCGTGCACTGTCGGAGTGTTGTATTCATGTTTCTCCTTCCAGGGTGCTGTCTGCAGTCATCATGGTGCTGCTGAGTCCCGGCTGCGCTCTGCTCTACTGCGTCTTCCAGGCACTGCAGGAGACCCCCGTCTCCCTGCAAAACGGTTGGATGCTCTTTCTGTCCGTCATCTCGCAGGGCATTCTGAACCACGCCCCCTAAGGCTCATTGGTCTATCCGCTCCTGGCTCTGCTGATCTACCCCTGCTGGCTGCTGCTCTGGAACATCCTCTTCTGGAAGTAAACAACAGGCAACTGGGGGAAGACTGGTCCCAGACCTGCCTTTATGGGAACTCCATCTATCCTGAGGTGTGAAACAGGTCCTAGACCTGTATTTATGGAATGAACTGAGGTATGCTCATGTCTGGCCTTTCACCAAGGATTAGGATGACTGACTTGCCCGGAAGTAGCAGGGGTAGTGGTTAAGTGCTTTAGGTTGGGCTTGTGTGGAGGAATTACAACTAAAAGGTTGTATTGGGTTCAGGCTTGTGTGCATGGGATTGTTTTGGTTTATGGTACCCAAATAAATAACCAAGAAACATCCAAAACAGACAATAGGCAAGCAGCTTGGTGAGAAGGCAACAACAGTTGGCGCAATTATTAGAAAATGGAAGAAGTTCAAGATGACGGTCAATCACCCTCGGTCTGGGGCTCCATGCAAGATCTCACCTCGTGGGGCATCAATGATCATGAGGAAGGTGAGGGATCAGCCTATAACTACACGGCAGGACCTGGTCAATGACCTGAAGAGAGCTGGGACCACAGTCTCAAAGAAAACCATTAGTAACACACTACGCCGTCATGGATTAAAATCCTGCAGCGCATGCAAGGTCCCCCTGCTCAAGCCAGCGCATGTCCAGGCCCGTCTGAAGTTTGCCAATGACCATCTGGATGATCCAGAGGAGGAATGGGAGAAGGTCATGTGGTCTGATGAGACAAAAATAGAGCTTTTTGGTCTAAACTCCACTCGCCGTGTTTGGAGGAAGAAGAAGGATGAGTACAACCCCAAGAACACCATCCCAACCGTGAAGCATGGAGGTGGAAACATCATTCTTTGGGGATGCTTTTCTGCAAAGGGGACAGGACGACTGCACCGTATTGAGGGGAGGATGGATGGGGCCATGTATCGCGAGATCTTGGCCAACAACCTCCTTCCCTCAGTAAGAGCATTGAAGATGGGTCGTGGCTGGGTCTTCCAGCATGACAACGACCTGAAACACACAGCCAGGGCAACTAAGGAGTGGCTCCGTAAGAAGCATCTCAAGGTCCTGGAGTGGCCTAGCCGGTCTCCAGACCTGAACCCAATAGAAAATCTTTGGAGGGAGCTGAAAGTCCATATTGCCCAGCGACAGCCCTGAAACCTGAAGGATCTGGAGAAGGTCTGTATGGAGGAGTGGGCCAAAATCCCTGCTGCAGTGTGTGTGCAAACCTGGTCAAGACCTACAGGAAACATATGATCTCTGTAATTGCAAACAAAGGTTTCTGTACCAAATATTAAGTTCTGCATTTCTGATGTATCAAATACTTACGTCATGCAATAAAATGCAAATTAATTACTTAATCATACGATGTGATTTTCTGGATTTTTGTTTTAGATTCCGTCTCTCACAGTTGAAGTGTACCTATGATAAAAAGTACAGACCTCTACATGCTTTGTAAGTAGGAAAACCTGCAAAATCGGCAGTGTATCAAATACTTGTTCTCCCCACTGTAAATAAACAAACATGGGGGACTGGAAGTGATGCAGACAATTACATTGATGAAAGTTACAATCTATCTGTAATATTAAGCTGATCTACCCCCTAACAAAATAGTCTTCGCTTTAAATGTTTTTTAAAAATATATAAAAATTATTTATAAATGCTCAAATAAAAAAACTTAACTCAAACTTGATTCACTTATGTTTATTCAGCTAACACCATGTTATACAGTCATGTTTCTCACAATATTCTGTCACTATCACAGTTCAGACAGAAACTTATGACAAGTAGGTGAAACGCATTACGCAGCAACATTCATATTGCCAAACATTCTGTTAAACACTAAATACAATGTTATAAAAATAAAAGCACTTTAAAACCCTGTCACTTCCACAGCCTCCTAGCAAGCAATTCCCCTCCTATCAAACAATATGGCACCAACCAATGACAGACTAGACCTGGGCCTGTACTCACACTGAGGGTGCTCGATTCAGCTGAACCGTGGTGCACGGGGCTATGGCGATCGCAAAAGCGGTGAGGGAGAAGCGCCAATCTCAAATCGAACAGTAATCTGCTGTAATCATGTTGTCAACAAGGCAGCCTGATGCATCTCTTTTACATAATTAGTTAAATTCGAACAGATATTTTTTCATTGGTGGATAGTGTTTTTATCCACACAATCATGTTTGCATGTGAAAACACAATCCTACTCATTACTCCACATGCTTAACCTACATGACTTTTGTTTTGAGCCGACGTCACAGTCTGCCAAAACGGGGCACCTGACTCGCGCTCGGTTCCAACATGAACGCAATCAACGCTTACCCGGTTCACCCGGGGCATTAATGGAATCCCCTCAGTGTCTGAGTAGGAGTGCTGATCTAGGATCAGGTCCCCCATGTCTATTTATTTATGATCTAAAAGACAAATCTGATCCTAGTATGGCTGACCACATTTAGTCGATTGTTTGGTCGATAGGCTGTATGTCGACCAATACTCTTTTTTTGACCAACCGATTGGTCGAAAGAACAGACTACTTTCGGTCAACCAATATGTTTTTGTAGGGGACAGCCAGCACTCCTACTCAGACTGTTTGTGAATACAGGCACAGGTTTTAAAACAGCATTTTCCAGCTTTCAAAGTATCAACTTTCACAGTTGGCCAACTTCAAAATATACAATATTCTCTCATCTGAGATATATCAGGTAGAGGGATGAGGGAAGTCCCACCCACCCACCCCTCTGAAATAAATATTGGACTAGTCCACTCCCCCATCCCCTATGTAAAATAAATAATAATAAGTCTGCCACAAGGCAAAGGTTGCTGACTCATGTCCACAGAGGAGAGTCAAAAGCCAGCTCTCATTGACTATACAGGTAGTTCCTTTTGTGAGCCTCTGCAAGTGGAGTTCCATGTCTGTGCTGCAGCGTCAAAACAGCGTCCATATAACTCTAGTCTCTGTCAGGCTGTGAGAAGGTTTGTCATCATAATATGCCAGTAGTGGTGGTGGGTTTATACCTGTAAGTTGGTGTGTGAGTGATCAGTCTTCCAGGCTCTGGTATAGGTTACGGTTGAGGCAGTCAACTGCTCAATGCACCGATCTCCCCCTGCTCCTCTCTTCTTCCTTTCTCCTTTAACACAAAGACAGAGAATAAAGAAAATATTGTAGTTTACTAAAGGGAGAATTCAGGTGATGTGTAAAGTGGGATGTGTGCCATCTGTCTGTAGGCATGCCATAGATACAGTACCTGTTGTATGCTGCTTTGCTTGCGTGAGTCAGGTCTGGCTGTACTGCAGATCTCACAGCCTGGTCGGGTAGGCTTGTTGATGAAGGTGCAGGAGGGACACGCCCATTCTGTCTGCAGATCAGAAGGACAGAGGGGATGTGTGTGAGAGTAGGACTCTTTCTATTAGTGTATCACTAGCAGTGATGTTCAGTGGTATACTAGCTACATGGAACTATCAAGTAAAGGAAGAGTAGGTGCTCAACTCGATCATCTTGTGTAAAACAGTCGAACACACATTTTAACATTGGTTTGTACCTGTGTTTTACTGGCTTTGCTGGGCTTATCAGGTTTATCGTTTAGCTGCAGCGTCTCCAGGTTGAGGGCGTCTCGGATCTCGCTCATACCCAACCTCTCGGCCCCAGTTCCAATGCTCCCTACAGCCAATCACAACAATGGAAAAGGAGTTCAGTCATGTATGAGCATGTGCGCTGCTGTGTGCATGCGTGTAAGTGCCTGCCAGCAGGTAAACTTACCCTGGGTGTTGTGGCTGAGCCTGGAGGGCAGGGTGCTGTAGCCCCTCCAGTCCTGGGACACAGGCCCATTGCTGGGGGGTGGGGGAGGGGTGTGGTGGGCACCCTCCTGGTCCTGCTGGAATAGCTGGCGGGTGAGGCGGGCATGGCGAGCTGAGACCAGGTAGAGGTAGGCCGTATCCCCATCCCTCTGGATCCCATATGAGGCCAGGGACCTAGGCTCTGTGCACAGGCATTGTCCAATCACCCAGCGCTGCACGCGAGGGTGAAAGCCATACTCCAAAAACACCTGAGAGAGCAATGACAGAGGAGAGAAATATTTGTGGATGGTTTCATTTGCGAATGTAGCCCAAGTATTCTAGCGAACAGAGACAACAGAAATGTTCATCTGACCTGCTGCTTGAGTGCTGCGACGGTCATGTGGGGAAATACTTTCACTGTTACGCAACAGGAAGAGGAGATGTCCTCCACTGCCACAGACAAACTGCAATACAGACATTAAACTTCATTAGCACAAATGCTCCTTGTTCTTTTGGACTACTCCCAAGCTACTGCCTGTTACTTCTTCTCACCTTATCTCTCCTTCTGTGTAACTCTTCTCAGACAGTTGGATAGTGAGCACTGCCTTCTGACGAGCCAGAGCAGACGCATGCTGAGCAGCAGCCTGGCTGTCACCTGCCTCGATCGCCCGGGCAAGCTCCAAGCACAGCTCCTCTTCAGAGAGAGAACATGTTCACTTACTTACATAAAGAAAAATGTACCCTATGTAGTCTTGCAAATGTGGTAGAAAGAGAGTGGGGGAATCGTGTGGTGAGGGTACTCACCAGTGAGTGGTAAGGAGGCAGTGCTGCGCTGTTCTAGAGCTTCTGCTGCTGTGTGCTGCTGTCGGTCATCCATAGGATGTGGGGAACTATTTGCAGCAACTACAGTGAGGGAGAGAGAGAATGGTCAAATGTCAGAGCAGTCTATTGTGTTAGCCATAGTGATGTTCTAGGAGGACACTCTTCCAATACACAACAAGACAGGAATGTATCTAAACAAGCAGATGAATAGAGGAAAAAGACAGCCATGCCCTCTGACCTCTGTGTGCCTCTCTTAGTGATGACATCACGACGGTGGCCCACTGTTCAGCCTCCCGGTCGCAGTGGAAGTTGAAGCGGACACAGTCGTGAGGGGGCGTGGCCAAGCGCATCTCGTGAAGGCGTGGGGACTTGACCTCATACTGCACAGAGCGCAGGTCAAACTCTGCAATGAACTGGGAGAGAGAGAAATAAATAAATAGAGAATAATTTGCTTAGATCTCTTATCTTTGTGGCCTTGATGGATATGGACTTACTTGACCTTATAGAGGGACAAACTGTAACCCCAGTGGCAATGTGCTAACTTTGATGTTTAGTTGTTTACATGCTGGAATAATCTGCCATAAAGAACATTTTGTCTTCCCTTGTACAGATAAACACAACAGATAAGTAAACTGTAATCATCACAAGGCATCGTTTCCCACCAATGGGATTACTGTAGTATTTGATTAAACAAGATTCCAATTCAGTATGACAACTGTATTTTCTGTAAACGGATAATGCTCCAACCAACAGACCAATGTGTGTGCATTTTATTGCATGGAGATACAGTAGAGCTAGACGTTACAGAGCAGTGTCTCTTACCACACTACGGCCGCTTCCGCTATTGTCCCTCAGTGCTAGCCGAAACTCTCCAGCCTTGCTGGGGTCCATGCTAAGTTGAAGACGGAGAGCCTCATCGCCAGCTCCAGGGAGGCAAAGCGGTCGAATACCCGAATGGCAAACCGACACCCGTACCGACATCAAAACGGTGTTGCAGTTAGCCAGCGCGGGCCCGCCATGTACAGCCTGGGACGCGGCAGGCACAGGCGTTTTACCCCAACCGCCGGAGCTCAGTGCCATATCCCACAACAACAGTTGAGAACCTCCAAAGCACAACGGTAGCTATGTCGATAGTTGTGTGAGTCTTGTTTTTTAACAGCCTACCTGTTAGTAAAGTGATGGCGTTTCATTGTAGCTGGCTATCTGGCTTGTCTCTCTCCTAGCTACGATAGCGAAACGAAACAACACCCCAAAAAAATATCAAAACAGGAAGTAGCTTGGGTCGTCCTTTATTTACCTCCGATGGAAACCAGCCTTCATAAAAATGGTCCGAGATCGAGATTGTAAAAAAAAAAAGCCTTTGTGCACCGTGTTAATTAATGCAACGTTAATTAATGCTGTATTCGTATAATAATAATATAATTATAAATAAGCCTATTATTGATCATGAGGAGGAAAACAAACAAGTATACATAAAGTGAGGCAAATACAATAATAACGCCTTCACTAGCCTAAAGGCCGGGAGGTGGCGATATTGAGTCGTTTCATCTTACCGTCCAAACCGAATCTATGCAGCTGGGAAAACACTCATATCAAAGATTTTTATAACTAAACCAAGATAGACCACAGCCTGCGTTTTCAACGTGAACAAATGAGTAATAGTGGGCAGATCAAGAAAGGATGTGGGCTGAGCCAAGCACGAGCTAGCGAGGTCCTATTGGCGCGTTGTAGCATGCATCTGTATATTTCCGTCAGGGAACGCCACCTCTGTGAAGTGCGCGTTTGCAATAACTCGATTCGCGTTTGCACTCCTTCTAAACAACGCAATTTTTAAAAACTTTTGTAAAGGGTAAAGTCTACAAAACTTTGTCCACTCTGTTCATAACATATTCTAGTTTTGGGAACAGAAAACTGTATTGAGATCAAATGTTTCATCGATGAGAAAATTAGCAGAATGTTGGCCAAAATCCATCTTGTTCCATCTTCTCCCACTGCTGGCCAGTGGGCTTTTTCTCTCTATCATATTTGGTAGTGAGTGGAAACGTCAAGCGGATGCTTCACATTTATACATCCGGTGAAATATGTCTCATCTGTGCTCATATCCCCCATGGACTGGTTTGTACATAAAACATTCTCCATTCAGGCTGCAAAGTAGAGCTCTGCTACCCGACATTATACATCATCTTAGGGCTGAGTAGGGCCTGTTTTTCATCAATAACTAGGGTACAGGCAGGGCTCGGGTATCACTAAATTGATCACTAACATTTTGAAGCTGAGCCATTTGCTCATGTTCTGCAGTACGGTCATATCTGACTAAGATCTGAACCAGAATCTGGCTTTACAGGAGACATGGAATATGGCAATTCTCCTTTAAGCCCAGGAAGCAACCATTCAACTTGCCATTCACAAGCTTTTCAAGCTTAAAGGGGAATTCCACCATGGCATATAGTCATTACTATATTAACAACATTATGTTTTTATCATAAACATTATCCAAACCGCAAGCTAGAACTAGCAGATTGGGAAGTTTCGACTTCCTTTGTATTCGTCTGATCATAATTTTACATTTTTAGTCATTTAGCAGACGCTCTTATCCAGAGCGACTTACAGTTAGTGAGTGCATACATTATTTTAATTGTATTTTTCATACTGGCCCCCCGTGGGAATCGAACCCACAACTCTGGCGTTGCAAAAGCCATGCTCTACCAACTGAGCTACATCCCTGCCGGCCATTCCCTCCCCTACCCTGGACCAATTGTGCAACGCCCCATGGATCTCCCGGTCACGGCCGGCTACAACAGAGCCTGGCTTTGAACCAGGATCTCTAGTGGCACAGCTAGCGCTGCGATGCAGTGCCTTAAACCATTGAACCACAAAGTCAGGCATTAATAGCAAATGCAGTGTCAAGGTGTGCTGTATGTGGATGGTGCGGGAATCAGGCGCAGGACACAGAAGCTTCGTACAACAGTCTTTAGTGGTGAAATACGAGCAAAAGTGCCCGGAGACGAGCGATACGCACACAGGCGTAAACAAACAGGAAAAATACATAAGCGCACAGAAAGTGCGAAAACCTCTCCTAACATACAAGGAGGGAAAACCAATACCGACACGTAGACAGGACGCTCAATAACACACAACACATGACTAACAAAACGAGAACTTATAGGACACATAATCAACGCTAACTAACCACAGGTGTACAACAATCAGACAAAAGCAAACAAACATAGAAACATACAACGGTGGCAGCTAGTACTCCGGGGACGACGACCGCCGAAACCTGCCCGAGCAAGGAGGAGGAGCAGCCTCGGCAGATTCCGTGACAGTACCCCCCCCTTGACGCGCGGCTCCAGCCGTGCGCCGACCCCGGCCTCGGGGACGACCAGGAGGACGCGGTGCAGGGCGCGTAGGGTGACTACGGTGGAACTCAGTCAGGAGAGACGGGTCTAGGATGTCCCTCCTCGGCACCCAGCACCGCTCCTCCGGGCCGTACCCCTCCCACTCCACGAGATATTGGAGACCCCCCATCCGACGTCTCGAATCCAAAATGGACCGAACTGTGTACGCCGGAGCCCCCTCGATGTCCAATGGGGGCGGAGGAGTCTCTGCTATCTCACCTTCCTGGAGTGGACCAGCTACCACCGGCCTGAGAAGAGACACATGGAACGAGGGGTTAATATTCTTATACTCAATAGGTAGTAGTAACCTGTAACACACCTCGTTCAATCTCCTCAGGACTTTAAAGGGCCCTACAAACCGCCGACCCAGCTTCCGGCAGGGCAGGCGGAGGGGCAGGTTTCTGGTCGAGAGCCAGACTCGATCTCCAGGTGCGTACACCGGCCCCTCACTGCGGTGGAGATCGGCGCTCGCTTTTTGACGACGGATGGCCCGCTGCAGATGGACGTGTGCAGCGTTCCACGTCTCCTCCGAGCGCCTTACCCACTCATCCACCGCAGGGGCCTCGATCTGGCTCTGATGCCACGGTGCCAGAACCGGCTGGTGACCCAACACACATTGGAAAGGTTAGGTTGGTGGAGGAGTAGCGAAGAGAATTCTGGGCCATCTCTGCCCAGGGAATATACCTCGCCCACTCCTCCGGCCGGCCCTGGCAATATGACCTCAGAAACCTACCCACATCCTGGTTCACACGTTCTACCTGCCCATTACTCTCCGGATGGTACCCCGAGGTAAGGCTCACCGAGACCCCCAGGCGCTCCATGAACGCTCTCCAGACTCGGGAGGTGAACTGGGGACCTCAATCAGACACTATATCCTCGGGTACCCTGTAATGCCGGAAGACGTGGGTGAATAGTGCCTCAGCGGTCTGCAAGGCAGTGGGAAGACCTGGCATTGGGAGAAGACGACAGGCTTTAGAGAACCGATCCACCACGACCAGTATGGTGGTATTCCCCTGAGAGGGGGGAAGGTCTGTAACAAAGTCCACCGAGAGGTGAGACCAGGGTCGTTGTGGAACGGGCAGGGGTTGTAACTTACCCCTGGGCAGATGTCTGGGCGCCTTACACTGGGCGCACACCGAACAGGAGGAGACATAAACCCTCACATCCCTGGCTAACGTTGGCCACCAGTACTTAGCGCTAAGGCAGTGCACTGTCCGGCCAATACCTGAATGTCCAGAGGAGGGTGACGTGTGAGCCCAATAAATAAGTCGATCCCGAACCTCGAGCGGAACGTACGTCCGACCCACCGGACACTGTGGAGGGCTAGGGTCGGTACGCAACGCCCGCTCGATTTCAGCATCGACCTCCCACACTACCGGTGCCACTAGACAAGACTCCGGCAGTATGGAAGTGGGCTCAACGGACCTCTCCTCCGTGTCATACCGCCGGGACAGGGCGTCTGCCTTACCGTTCTGGGACCCAGGGATGTACGTGATTTTAAATACAAACCGGGTTAGAAACATGTTCCACCGAGCCTGGCGAGGGTTCAGTCTCCTAGCTGCCCCTCAAGCCAATGTCTCCACACCTTTAGGGCTTGAACCACGGCTAACAGCTCCCTGTCTCCTACGTCATAATTCCGCTCCACCGGGCTGAGCTTCTTAGAGTAGAAGGCACAGGGGCGGAGTTTAGGTGGCGTACCGGACCGTTGTGATAGCACAGCCCCTATACCGGCCTCAGACGCGTCTACCTCTACCTGGAATGGTAAGGCGGGATCCGGATGCGCAAGCACTGGAGCCGAGGTAAACAGGGCCTTCAGTCTCCCAAATGCCCTGTCCGCCTCCGCTGACCACTGCAATCGCACCGGACCCCCCTTCAGAAGAGACGTTATGGGAGCTGCTACCTGTCCAAAACCCCGGATAAACCTCCGGTAGTAATTCGCAAAACCCAAGAACCGCTGCACCTCTTTCACGGTGGTTGGGGTTTGCCAATTACGCACGGCTGACACCCGGTCAACCTCCATCTTCACCCCTGACGCGGACAACTGATAACCCAGAAAGGAGACCGACTCCTGGAAAAACAGACATTTCTCTGCCTTGACATACAGGTTGTGCTCCAACAGCCTACCCAACACACGACGCACCAGGGCTACATGCTCTTCTCGGGTAGGCGAGTAAACCAGGATGTCATCTATGTACACGACCACACCCTGCCCCTGCATGTCCCTGAAAATTTCATCCACGAAGGATTGGAAGACTGAAGGAGCATTCATCAACCCGTATGGCATGACGAGATACTCGTAATGACCCGAGGTGGTACTAAATGCCGTTTTCCATTCATCGCCCTCCCTAATGTGCACCAAGTTATACACGCTCCTGAGATCCAGTTTCGTGAAGAAACGGGCTCCGTGCAATGACTCCGTCATGGTCGCAATCAGAGGGAGTGGATAACTGTACTTCACAGTGATCTGATTGAGACTACGGTAATCTATGCACGGCGCAACCCTCCATCCTTTTTCTTCACAAAAAAGAAGCTAGAGGACGCAGGAGAAGTGGAGGGCCGTATGTATCCTTGTCTTAGAGATTCGGCTATGTAAGTCTCCATAGCCCGCTTCTCCTCTTGGGACAGAGGATACACATGGCTCCGCGGAAGCGCTGCTCCTGCCTGGAGGTCTATCGCACAATCCCCCTGTCTATGAGGAGGCAAACGCGTCGCCCTCGATTTACTAAACACAAGTGCCAAATCCTCATATTCAGTGGGAATGCGCAGTGAGGACACCTGGTTTGGACTCTCCACCGAGGTCGCCCCCACGGAAACACCCAAACATCTCCTCTCACACTGGGCAGACCACTCCTTAAGAGCCC